CAATACGATACATAATCACTGTAAAATACATCTGCTGTAGTCTGTACAGCCTGTGCTATAGCTGTGCTATAGGCCTTTTATTGTTAGTTCAAAAACTAAACACACCATTGAGCTCACATTGTTGCACAAGGTGACCTGGGTTTCCTTCATGCCACACAGTAGTTTTCGACTAACATATTTTTTGCTTTCTTCTTTTATGGCCTTATTCTTTAGGAATAATTTTTCAGTCATATTAATATGTTTTTCCGTTGCCAGCTGCAGATCTGGGACACGGCGGGTCAGGAGCGTTTCAGGAAGAGCATGGTGGAGCACTACTACCGCAGCGTCCACGCCGTCATCTTTGTGTACGACGTGACCAGCCTCTCCTCCTTTGAGAGCGTCCCCGACTGGATTGAGGAGTGCAGCCGGCACTGCGTGGGGCCCCTGGTGCCCCGCATCATGGTGGGCAATAAGTGCGACCTGAGGGACCGCCGGGAGGTCCCCACCACGGCGGCGCAATGCCTCGCCGACAGCTACAACTTCCCGCTGTTCGAGACCTCGGCCAAGGAACCTGCCGAGAAGGAGCACGTGGACGCCATCTTTCTGACTCTGGCTTACAGACTGAAGAGCCACAAACCGCTGCGACTGAAGCAGCCGAATGAGGGCGGCGTCGGGCGGCTGTGGGACCAGAGAGAGCAGGAAGCGGCGACTTGTCAGTGCTGAGGTCACCTACATCTTGTGTGGATGTTACTCAAGAGCGTGCAGGTCATCACAGCCTCCTGGATCGATAACAGTGCTGCAGGAAAGCCTGAGGCTGAACACAGAAAGGCCTCTTATGATCATGAGATAGAAAAGGATGAAACGGTTATACACTTTTCCCTGCCTGCTGCGAGGCACAGCTTGTGACAGTGGGGGCCTATACGTTTGCACAAAAATAATTTAACATTTCATTGAAAAGCATGAATGGAGATGGGGGGTATGCCAAATATTTGTGACTGCACATAAAATCACTTTGAGTCAAAGAACAGAGTGCAATTTAACACGTAGACAAATCATATGCAATCAGCTGTCCAGTAGCACTACAGCTTATCCACACTTTTCAATGCAGACATTGAATTAAGAGACCAAACTGATTTCATTGTAAAGAAATGAACCAATAAGGTGAATTGAAACTGTGAAGAAAACCGTGCAATTATTTTTAAGTTATGTCTTAAAGTGATATTTCAGTTATTTTAAGGAATAAATGCCGCATGAGTTTTGGTGCTGTTGCTGAATGTGTTTCTCAAATATAAATATGAACATAACCAGCTTTGTGTCAGCTCATCCGCCCACACAGTTCTCCTGTTAGAGTTCCCCAATGACAAAATCTTTTGGGACGAAATGCAAATCCACGCGGTTCACTTGAAAAGCATGAGTGAACACATGCTCGGCTGTCTTTAGAAATTGTTCTGCCGTATGCAAGGTATTGATGGTATGAGATAAAATCACAACCAACGGATACTTTTTTTTTTGCATGTATACAATAATGCAAACACTTTCTAAAAGTATGGAGAGATGTGACAATGTTACGCTGCAAATCAATAAAAGTAGTTTCATCGGGATGATTTAAAATGTTTGAGGCTTCTGGTGTGTCGGTGTTGTTTAGTGTGATGATGCTGTCGTCTCAGGCTTATAATGTACTCATAAATACTTACACATAACCAAGGATACAATAAATTACTGTATTTTATTTTATTGGTTGGTTATAAAGCCTGAAAAACAGTAAAAAGTCAGCCAACATGGATAAAAAATCCTTGAGGTGTTCAAAAAAACAAGGAAATGTGAACATCTGCAACCATCTGCTGATGAAGATCATGTGATATGATTGAAAGCTCCAGAACGGCCTCAAGAGAGTTGCCTCAGCTCCATCCTATGCTCCTATGCTTTCATCCCAGTTTGCAACATTTTATTGTTTTTTAGCGACGACTAGTGGTCAACATTTGCATAGGTCTATCTTCGATGATGTGTTCGAAAAATCCTGTAAACTAGCCTATTATCTAGTTCAACGTACGCTAACTGTTAAGGTTATTAATGGAATATAAAAACTAATGCAATACCCGAAACGAAATCAAATTCCGTATTGCATCAATATAACATATTTGTATGCTAGGCTTTGGTAGATTAATGTCAACCTTGATCGCTGATCACTTAGTAGGGTGTCATATTTACCACCTTGCAACAAGTCCGTGAATGCAGCACAGTAATCGAGCCGCCTGTATTCTTCACGCGGCGTCTCTCTGCGGCCATGGTAACACTCTCAACACCGGACCTCTGATTATAAAAGAACAACAAACAAGAGCTTTTCATGCAGGTTTGTGAATTATCTTCATGTTCTGAATGTAGTTTAAGAATATAATTTAGGTTGCTTTTGTCTGCACGCATATTTAACCCATACCGGGAGGATTAAGTAGCGTTTACGTTATTTATTGATTGCCACACGATTTGTTTTGTTTTCTGTCTATGGCCTAGCAGCAAGCTAGCAAAAGCTAACGTCGGAAATGTATAAGGATGCAGAAAATAAGCTTTTTAAAATAGTGCCTTGATTGAAACGAAGGTGAACTGTCGGCGATAAAAAAAGACCGGTAATTTAAAATCACAGTCTCTGATATCAGCTAGCTTCACCGACATGCTTTGCCGGGTGTTTGCTAGCAGGTCTCTTATACACGACATGCAACTGACCTCCGAGCTGCACCGTCCTGTAAATAAGTAACGCGGGATTAATAATGAGGTCATCGAGCACATTGTTGAAAATGTGGTTTTGAATTACTGTAAAATGGTTTCACTAGGCAGCAGTACTCGGTGATGCACTGAACCCGCATGTCTTGTCCTCTCCCTCGCCTTCTAGCTGCTATTCAGCATGAATCTGGCAGAGATATGCGACAACGCCAAGAAGGGTCGTGAGTATGCTCTGCTGGGGAACTATGACTCCTCCATTGTGTACTACCAAGGCGTCATTCAGCAGATCCACAAGCACTGCCAGTCGCTCAGAGACCCTGCACTCAAAGTCAAATGGCAACAGGTGAGTTCACCAACGCCACCCTTACACCAGTTATTACACTTTTTGTTAATTCTTTATTGAATGCTGGACATTCACTGTAAACCCTGTGTTGTTTTACAGCTGCTGTATTGTTCAGTTGGGTGTTCTGTGGTGCAGTGCTGATACAACACTCTGCTTTGTGACCAGGTCAGGCAGGAACTAACTGAGGAGTGTGAGCAGGTGAAAGGCATCATGGGAACGCTGGAGAGATTTAAGTTGGAGAAGCCGGCTGACGTTCTCGCCCCTCAATGGGAGGAGAGGCCCGAGGATCCAGCAGTGTGGCCCCCTCCCACCCCTGCAGAGCACAGGTGTGTGTGTGTGTGTGTGTGTGTGTGTGTGTGTGTGTGTGTGTGTGTGTGTGTGTGTGTGTGTGTGTGTGGAAGTTACATCTTTGACCCAAAGCCTTTGTGGGCTTCGGGCAGGACTCACCTCTACAAAATAGAATCGCTTGGATCTTTTTTCTACTTGTTCTACATCAGTTGAGACTCATGGTGATGTCTTTAATGTGTCTGATAGCAAAAACAAAATATTTCTTTAAAATCACATAGCAGCATTTATTTAGCGTCACACTGTGTTCTTGAAGAGAAGATGATTTGAAAGAAATGCCCAATGTCTGGCCCCATCTGATTTGTATATGTATTTTATAAATACACTAAAGCTAACTGAAATATTAAGACATCACCATTTTATTGTCACATACACGTGAAACCCTTTCATTCAGGATAATATCAATAAATCTCCAAGAAGCACATGTACGACCATTAATTCTATATAATAATATGCAATGAAAGCTGAAAAAGTAGCTCCACACTGCTGTCTGTTTGCCGCTTCTTATTTTAGTCTATGTGGGATTAAAGAACTGGGAACAAGATGTCAGTGTGTTGGTACTTTGGTTGCTTTATTTCAGCCACCTGCTCAGGCGCTGATCCAGGGGACTTCTTTACCTTCTGGCAGAACTGACTGTTGTTGACGCTACCCAGAGAGTCTGTAGAACAAAACTCCTTTATAAGGAAGCACTTTGAACTACAAAGAGACATATTTTGCATAATCTGTTTCATCTCCACCGGCACAATGTGACTTTACCGTCTGGTTGTTAATTAAAGTGCACATATCAAGCTTTATCTCCACAGAGAAGCAGCGGAGCTGGTTGTGAGGAGGTCGGCTCGCTATGATATTACCACTAGTTCCTCGTTGGAAATGATCTTTGATGTTTCTGTCTGCAGGTGTGTCCTACTATCACTCATGTGTACAGTTGTATTCCTGTGTCTCTGTAGGAATCTGATTGCGGTGAAGCGCCCCAACAGTGCGGCGAAGCAGCAGAGGAAGGACTCGCCTGGTCTCCAGCATCGAGGGGCGGGGCCAGGAGGCCGCGGTCAGGCCAACCCCAAACCAGACCGGCAGGGTTCCAGAGACACCCGAGGCACGAAGGCCAAAGACGATAAGGTCAGACTCAAAGGGACCGATAGACGGATGAGTTTGGTACTTAAGAAACGAGTCAAAACACCTGTTTTTATAAATCTTGTGACCCTTCTTTTTGTCTTCATCAGGGGAAGAAAGGGGTAGGAGATGCATCAGGGGAAGGAGAGCAGAGGAAGTTTGATGGCACGGGATATGACAGCGACCTGGTGGACTCACTGGAGAGAGATATTGTGTCCCGCAACCCCAACGTGCACTGGTGTGGTAGCATTCACTGTTTCTTCCACACTCCTTTACACACTCTGCTGTCAGGGAAGTGTGTTTTTGTTTGTTTCTTTGCACTGCTGACTGAGTTCTCTTGATGATCCGTAGGGAGGACATTGCTGACCTGGAAGATGCTAAGAAGCTGCTGAGGGAAGCTGTGGTGTTGCCCATGTGGATGCCCGACTTCTTCAAGGGCATCCGTCGCCCCTGGAAGGTACACACACACACACACACATTTTCTGAACTTACCAGACTGTTCTAGCCGTCCTATTATTTGCCTTCACCCACTTAGTCGTTATAACCATATTCCTGACGATCACTCCTCTAAAATCAGCCCTACAATATCGGTTCAATATCAATATTGAGGTATTTGGTGAAAATGATTGCAATGTTTGATTTCCTCCATATTGCCCAGCCCCACCTGTTTGTTATCTCATTAGTGATTAAACGATTATCAATCACTTCTGCTATGACAACGGTAAATAATGAATACGGGAGATGTACATTTTACAGTCTGTCTTAACTCTACGTAATAACTAACTTCAAATGGTGCAACAAAGTTTTAGTATAACTCCTGCACTGCGCTCAAACTAAGCTACAGTCGACTCTGATGCAACAGCCCGCTGTTCTCCTGCCCAGGTAATCACACACCCTTAATGCTTACATGTGTTTGCATCACTAACGTATTTCATTAAAGGGCCCGCTCAGTCACACTGCCTCTCAGTAGCGACATGACTGGGAGTTCTCTTCTGTCCCAGCCTCTGTTGAGCTTCATCATGTGAGGCCTCTTACCCCTCAGGCCCCGCCACGTGAGGCTCAATACTTAAACGTTTAGTTATTTTTTACAGCAGAACACGGCCTTTCACTTGTCTGATGTATAATTGAACTCTTTACTTAGTTAGCTGGAGCCTTTCCTCAAATAACTGAAAGTGCAGTAAAATGAAGGATTAATACTTTATTATAGGAAAAAGGATGAAGGTAAAGTAGCTGTGGATTCTGAGGCAGCAGAGAGTACAATTACATATCGTGTTATGGACTGTCACTGGTACTTTTTTTTATGTAATCTCCATAGCAACAGACATAAACCAGATGCATAAATGTCAGACATCAGAGCGGCAGTGGCAGTCCTGGTGTTTACAGAAGAGATTTGCATCAGTGTGCTGTCTGTTTATGTGTGTTTATTACGCGTGTCACATTTTGTTTTAGGGCGTGTTAATGGTCGGCCCTCCCGGGACGGGGAAGACAATGTTAGCCAAAGCTGTGGCCACAGAATGTGGGACTACTTTCTTCAACGTGTCCTCCTCCACCCTCACCTCCAAATACAGGGGCGAGTCAGAGAAACTTGTTCGCCTGCTGTTCGAAATGGTAACTTCCCGTGCATGTATTTGGTCTCAATATCAGACTGAAGATCAAAATGTTTTGTTATATTGCAGAGAACGGGTCTCCTGAACTATTTTCCTTTCTCAGGCCCGCTTTTATGCACCGACAACCATCTTCATAGACGAGGTAGACTCCATCTGTGGCAGGAGAGGAACGTCTGATGAACATGAGGCCAGCCGCAGGGTCAAGTCCGAGCTTCTGGTTCAGATGGATGGTGAGTGGAACAGAGAAGGTGAAGCTATGAAAAGGTTTCTGATGTGGTTGTCTCTGGAGTTCATTGAAGAAAAAGAAATGAGCTGTTCTGTTTTGGCATTTGGCACATTTTGATATCAAAACTGAATGAGTTCAACATAAAATAGAGCTGTGTAAAGCGCAGTATTAAACCAAAACACATTCACTGTCACGCGAATGGTAACGTGCGTTTCCTTTGTGTGTGCTTTGGTGACCAGGCGTGGGGGGGGCTCTGGACAACGATGACCCCTCTAAGATGGTGATGGTCCTCGCCGCCACCAACTTCCCCTGGGACATCGACGAGGCGTTACGACGGCGTCTGGAGAAGAGGATCTACATCCCCCTGCCCACAGGTGACCTCACCACCCACAGACTAACTGCCGCTGTTGTCGTAGATCAGTTTCGAGTCTTGACACCACGTTTTGAAGGTCTCATTTCTTTATAGGCTGGTCTAGACCACAACTCGTGGGATATTACCCCATTGTCTGAAGTATTTGTTGTGTGTTGAATGTCAAACTTCCTGCTTCAAATGTAACCAATAACTTGCAACAATAACTCATTTTCTTACTGTTGACGACGGTCACGCATCCCCGCCCCCCTTCACACCCACTCCCAGAGAGTGAACGCGGGAGACAGGAGAAGAAGGTGTAGCTGTCTGGGAGGAAATGTCAATAAAATTGGCTCCCTAAAAAAAACAGAGCTGGGACTCGCTGGTCTCAGTATTGAGTTGGTCTCAACCCCTCAAGGTGTTGGTCTTGTCTCGGCCTCGATAAACTGGTCGAGCTCATGACTTGGTCTCGGTTTAGTTGGTCCTGATTACATCATTGCTAACTGCACAACAAACGATGGTCACCATAGTGGTCGAACCGAGGCTGGACACAATAAATCCTAATATCTGATGAATGCTCTTTTGTGTGTGTGTGTGTGTGTGTGTGTGTGTGTAGCTGTGGGTCGTGTCGGGCTTCTAAAGATCAACCTAAGAGAGGTGGATGTGGCTGCTGACGTGGACCTGGACCTCATCGCTGAGAAGATTGAGGGCTACTCTGGAGCAGACATCACCAATGTCTGCAGGTGCGTGTGGTAGTGTGTGCACGTATGCGAAATTATAAAACAATCCAGGAATTGCTAATGAGTTCATCCTTCATCTCCTTCACTTCCTGTTCAAATAGCATTCTTAGAGACAGACACGGGGCAGAGAAATAGAGCGGCAGAGACCTGAAGAGTCTCAAGTTAGCTCTCTCAGGAGGATTTCCCACCTGTAGTCCAGTTCATTTGGTCTGGACCAAAGGGAAACACTAAACACTGTTGCATTTTAGTTCTGCTTGGGTTCCTGTTCACACTGACATTTTACGAATGAACCAAGACGAGTTCACATGAAGTTGGGTGATTGGACAGTTCTGGTGATCGTCTTCCTGCATCATCAGGACTCTCAAGGGGAAATGACAGAAGTTCATGCAGCACTTTAATGCTTCTGATGAGGATATTTATATTTAGAGTCACAAAGACCTCACGTAGAAATAACTGATGATTAGCAGTATTGGTGTTATTAGACTGCAAATCGATCCGATGATGATGATGAATAATGACCAACAGGTAGAGACAACACTGTTCAAAAGCCCCTTCACATGCTCACAGATGACTGGTGTGAACGTCAGGGAGCGCACGGACACCAGGCGTCTGTACAGTAATGACTCAGGGCTGATGGCTGTGGGATCTCTGTCACACACTTGGACTTAATGGACAATAGACTTAATGAACTGACAAAGTACACAGAGTCGGATATAAGCACAGCTTTTAAACAGGGAAAATACCGGTGCTGACATGCACACCTGTTGATTTGCATAAATGGGTTATATACATGGCCTGATACAGATCAATTGAAAGATCACTTCCTGAACAGATTACACCATCAGCAGATGGATTTATTTTACTGACCCACCTCTTCAGGCGGACCCGAGTTAGTTTTAACCAAACCAAACCGTGCAGGTGTGAACGCACCCTACAAACAAAAGTGCCTAGAATATAGATGCAACGTCATGAGCCGAAGTGTGACTAAAGCGGTTACACAGACTGTATTAAAACAGTGTGTGCACAACAAGCCATTCTGATTTTGACATTAAAAGAGCAGCCATAGAGTGTGTGTTGTGTGTGAGAGAGAGAGAGAGAGAGAGAGAGAGCAGGTATTTACATGTGGCCGTGAACAAAGCATCACTCTTCCCTCATTGTCTATCACTAACCAGCTCTATGTATCTGCATAGATTTTATCATCACACTCTTAAATCCATCCCAAAACGACACAAGATCAGATGCACATTCAAAAGCAGTGATAGTAGCTGGTGACCCGCACTGAGATGAAAACAGATATGCCGACGGTTATTATAAAGTATGCACTGATTATATTTCTGAATGTTATTTCTAATAGTTGAAGACTTCTCTTCACCACCCTGTCCTTGCTTTAGTCCTTTCTGCTGCTCTGCTTGGAATGACAAGTATGCCATGTTGTTCAAGTTTGTTTCGTTGACCTTGTACGTGTGTGTGTGTGTGTGTGTGTGTGTGTGTGTGTGTGTGTGTGTGTGTGTGTGTGAGGATTTCAGCCAGCTGTTGCTTAGTGATCACAGCAGAGACTCCATCCATTTTGACGAGAGTAAAACTCTTTAACTAGGAAATCACAAAGTGTGTTTTAGGGAGCGTATTTAAACAAAACAGAGGTGTTATGTATATGCGTCTTTCAATACCGCTAACCGTCCTCTGCTCCTGTCTTTACTTCAGGGATGCATCTATGATGGCGATGCGTCGTCGAATCCAAGGCCTGAGCCCCGAAGAGATCCGAGCTCTGTCCAAAGACGAGCTGCAGATGCCCGTGACCATGGAGGACTTCACCCTCACGCTCACAAAGATCTCCAAGTCCGTCTCCGCCGCCGACCTGGAAAAGTACGAATCCTGGATGGCTGAGTTTGGGTCAGTGTAGAGAACGGTTCCGCTCAGACCCCAGAGGGACCAGAATATCAGAAGCAAGACTTTGAAAATGATGAAAGCCTCGAAGAGGAGGGCTCTGGGAGTCACGGAGCGGAGTGAACTCAAGTGTGTGAACCTGGCAGCGCATCAGGGATCAAGATTATACATCAGAAGACGGGTGCCTTTGAGAGAGAGAGAGAGAGAGAGAGAGAGAGAGAGAGAGCGAGCGTGATGAGAACTTTGAGTGGCTGCCCCCCTGCCCTTTCACCCCCCCCCCCCCCCTCCATTGTTGCTTCCACACAATTGTCCGTGTAGAGACTATCAATCGACCCAAGGAAGAAAAGGGGAAGTTTTAATGTAAAAAGTAGCCTAATACCCACACAGGGAACGTTTTACTTACATGTCAGGCCTCGTGCAGGAACATTTGCGTATTCCTATCCTCAACCCAAGCTTTGCTTGCCTGTTTCAATTCGATGAACGCCACCTGTTTACAAGTAGGTGAGCGTTGGTGAGATTTGATCATTTGGATAATCAACAACCCTAAAATTGTGATTAAGACCGTTATTTTCTCAATTTGTGGGCAAGTTCCATTCAAAAAAATGTAATGAGAGTAAAAAGAATAATTTCACAGCAAGTCTCACACCCTGCTGTCAGAGATCAGCAGTTAAAGTATTTGTATTAGGAGACCTGAAATAATTGGAAAATCTTACTACAACCAAAACATCAGAGGACCTTCAACAGGAAATTGTGCCGCATAAAAAACCCTGAAGCAGATGCTGACGGGAGAACATCTTCCTCACAAACACTAAATTGTAAATTCTAAGTTATCCAGTAAAACCTACAAAAGCTGTAGTGGAACCTCTCAGTAAAGTTGAAGCCATGGTGACGGTGATCATCATTGTGATGGTGCACTGTTGTTTCTTGCACGAGGCCCTTTGTCTTAACGAGCTGTATGTTTGAGCACTTTGAATTCCTTCAATGTACCTACTACTGACTGAACACACTTGAAGAACCACGATATTTTGTGTTATAGTGTCTGGTTTTGTGTTATGTGTTTTTGTTTTTGTTTTTCTTGGTTTTAATATTTGTTTTTTTCGATTTTAGTTGTGTTAAAACAAACAAATGTAGCCATTCTAAAACAACATGGCCGCTGGACCCGTGGAATGTTTATTAAAGGATACAGTGAAACCTCGCCCACTCCAAATGAAATGAGTTACTCGGGTTCTTATTGGATCTCTGAATTACTCCAAGTCTTAAAAGCGCTACGGATGACATCATCGCCGCTACATCTCCATGACAACCGAGCAGACTCCATGAAGCCTATGTGACCGGGTTAACAGCTCAGGGAAAAAAGACCTTGAGTTGGTTTTATCTGGGCAAACTATTGAAATATTATTTTTGATAAACCAGTGACGTGGGTTACGAGACATTAAAAATACTTGAAACTCGCAAAATAGTTTATTCTTATGATGTATGATCAGTTTTCTGGCTATAGAGTAATTGAGGGAATCAGTGTGTTGATTTGTCTGTGTATCTTTGGTAAAAATAGAAACCTGTACACTGCACGACCAGAGAGACCTGGATAGCACCGGTCAGTAAGGACTCATAAGAATTAGGTCTTTCTTTTGGGGGTTAGAATTCAAACTTTGTGTTACACTGTGGGTGGACTACTTTAAATGTATACAGTGGTGGAAGTGGATTTATACTCTGTTATTGTACTTAAGTACAATTTTAGGTTCTTATACTTAGTGTTTTCATGTGAGAAGACCTAGTAATACTGCATACTAAGTACTTGGTGATAAAAGGGTTTGCTTATAAAACATGCAATCCTGTGTATGTATATATATATATATATATATATATATATGTATCTGTATTTATGTATATGTAATGTACGACTGTGCTGCAGAAAATGGGCTGTAAATACTTAACTTTAAATGTACCTCACAATTGTACCTGTAAGTACTTCGTTACATTACATCATGTAATTAACATACATTAGGCTACGTCAAAATAAATTGCTGTCTGATAATAATAATATAGTATTTTCCTCAGAGATTAAATCACGTGCAGTACCTTACATCTTAGGTACTTGAGTGAATGTACTTAGTTACTTTCTACCGATGCTTTTCTCACACAGAACCTTGCCGACCCTTCATCGTGCTTTTGTTAAATCGCATTATTGATTCTTCTCTGCAATAGCCGCTGCTATCGCTCCGCACTAAATAACCGGATGATAATGTAACGTGCTGCGTGTCTCCGGTGACGCTGTGTGGCTGCATCAGCTCACGGTTGCACCGCGACACTTCGCAGAGACGTGTTTTTTCTCCCACTCCCTCAGAAGCACAGTGGGGTCTAGCGCACGCTCCACAATGGAGACTAAACCGGTCATCACCTGCCTTAAAACGCTGCTCATCGTTTACTCCTTCGTCTTTTGGGTACGTAGCCTCTCTCTGTCCTCTTTCTGTTTCTGTTTCTGATCACGTAATCCACCATGATGTGTTTGGGATGTGCTCGATGAAGGGGTGGGCAGCGGCAGCATCATCGACGGCATCGGTGCTGTTGTGCGGATATATCGCTAAATGAAAAGTCGCTATCTTCACTCTGCGTCTGAAATATGGATTTTAATCGCTTTGCGTTATGTAACTTGTGCTCAGGTTGCACATATTTGGGCTGCGGAGCGGTGAGCACACACCGAGCGCACGTAGCGCCATGGTTGTTGTCAGTTAGCGCGGAGGAGGACGGTAACGTCACGATTTAACGGTGTCTGATGAGAGACCCGACGTTAGGGGCCTCGTCTGTTTGATGAGGCCCCGGTTGAAGCCCCGTTTTCTTAACGCGTAATGTACATTTTGGGGTCGTTGCTATAGATTTCTTAAAGGGACCTTGCACCCTTAGTGTATATTCCCATACAGATACGCAGACAAACAAGAAAACACATTGACTCCTATGGGAACACGGTAGAAAATGCTCTTAATTACCTTAAACTGAGTGTCCAGAAAAACATAAACACTTGACCAGGGTTGGAAGAAGTGCTCAGATCTTTTATTTAATAAATAACGCATAAATACCACAGAGAAAGATACTTCATTATTAATGAAAGTCCTGCATTCTAATAGGCTGCAGAAGTACTATCACCAAATGTGTCTAAAGTAAAGTTACTCATTTTCCAGCATAATGGCCCCTTTATCATATTTGATGATTATCACCGGTGCATTAAGATGTAAGTCATTTTTAATGTTGTTGCTGGTCCAGAGTAGTAATAACACAGTGTAAATGTGTAAAAATACACAAGTAAAAGTCCTGCATTCCAAATCTCACTTAAGCAAAAGTACCCAAAGTAAAAGTAGGCTACTCATTATGCAGACTGCTACATTTCATATTGCGTCACTGCATTATAATTATCGATGCATTAATGTGTTAGAATCACCTTTGATGTTGCCTTTGGTTAAATTGGGGCATATGTTTTTATATTTCTTATACACTGTAAATTATTCTGAAATAATATTATTTCAGAATAATATCTACAATGTAACTAGAAGCTAATGTTGTCAGATAAATGTAGTGGAGTAGCAGTATAAAGTAAAGAATGGGAATACTCAAGTACCTCAAAATGATACTTTGTATACAGTACTTGAGTAATTGTACTTTTAACCACTGCACTTGAACCATGTTATGTAGATACCTGGTATAAATACTTTACTTTCAATGTCCAGTTAATGTGTAGACTTCACACAAAATGTTTACTTTACTTTACAAAACTTGACTTTGTGGTTGTGTTGTTTAATGCAGCATTGTATTAAAAGTAGAGCTGCTAATAACAGTTATATCAATTATTGATTAATCTGTGTCAAGATTATTTTTGTTTTAGATTAGAAAATAGTTACAAAAATGTTGATCTCAATCTTCTAAAGCCTATAAAGAAGTCTACAAATGTGTGTTTTTTAATTGACCAACAGTCTAAAACCCAAAGATATTCAGTGCACTATGATGTAAGATGAGACAAAGAAGTAAGCCCTCACATTTGAGAAGCTGGATCCATGAAATTTGTGGACATTTTGCTTGATAAATGACTAAAATGATTATCAAAATAGTTGCGAGTGTTTCTAATATTTTGTCCTCAAAGAGGAGAGGAGAGGTAGGCTCAAGCTTGTTTGACGTACAAACATCCATGTGAACTAAGAACACGTAACATTTCGTGGGGATCTTGCAAATATCAGTGTGGACTACCTCTCTTCTTCCTTTGTATGCTGTTTTTGTCCTGGACCCGTGCCCTGCTGCATGGGGTGGACGTGTCCTCCTTCTCTGCGTGGTCCACCACATTTACATACTGAGCAGAAACACTAGCTATGCCCTGCAGTATCAAGCAAAACACAGCAGCACAAAAGCCTCATGTTATACCAACGAGTTCAATCAATACCTCTGGAGGATTGTTTTGCCAAGGTCTTAAGCTGATTTGAAATTCATAAAAATGCTGTAATACTGAGCAAGCAAACAGTATCATAAATCAATACTCATGAAGAATAGATTCATATTTTCACTGTAATTAAAACTCATTGTAGTAAGTGAGCCAGCAGATCACTTCAGAAAGCATCTCTCAACCCAAATAAATTTGCTCCCATTTGTGGGATAAATGCCTTTTTAGATTTAGAAGTGAAATAATGTTTGATTATTCCCCGTTTGGCTTCGAGGGGTTTGGATTGTTTACCTTTTGATGGCCAGCTGATCACACGTAATCTAGCATTCTTGCAGACAACAATATGAACATTACAACCACAATACTGTGGGACTAACTGACCAGCAGTTTAGTATGACTGTAATTTTGGGTTATAGGGTGATTTCTGAGCACAGCCAGACACAGCAAGGCCACACTCCATATAGGGTTCTTCAACTTGTCCCCATAAGATACCCCATTGTTGGTTCCAGGTAGAACCTTTTTAAAAAAGTTCCACCTGGAACCCTCTCAGAGGGTTCTATCTAGAATTCAACATAAAGGGTTAACCATCTGTGAAAGGTTCCACCCAGCACCCCCTATGAGAGGTTCTACAGAGAACTCTTCTGAATGGTTCCCCAACAACAACCCACCCATGGGGTTCTACCGAGATCCCTTTTATATTCCAAGATTTTCATCTAGAACCCCAACAGGGGGTTCTACCAAGAAGCTCTTTATACTCCCTTTTACATCCAATAGATATTTCTTCATCTTAACCATGGTTTTAGTTTAACAGGTTACCCTGGGGCCATGTGAACCACGTCCAGCAGCCTTGGGCCACATGAGGCCCCTAAAGGGTCAGGGTACATGATGTACAGTGCAACCCACAACAACCATCTTGTGTGCTAGCATGGACCCATCCAGGGGGTTCTACCGAGAACCCTTTTTTATTCCAATACTTTCATCTAGAACCCACAGGGTTCATGAGGCTCCTAAAGTGAGGGGGCTGATGTGGTGGGCTACAGCAGAACCCACACCTATCATGGTCCACAAGCACTGCTTTCTGGAGCTGTGCAGCTTGGAGGATCCTTGAAGTCCATGCTTTCATCAGTCCTTGAAGAGCTCTTTCTTCCAAAAAGTGTTCTTTGGATGAAACGGGTTCTTAATGGAAAGGACCATTGAAAACATGGTTGTATCCAAAATCATTCACTCATTCACTACTCCCTACTCACTATCCAGGAAGTTCTATTTAGAGCACTAATTAGTGCGCTCATCGGCAAAATGAAAAAAAATCACATTCTCTTTCCCGTTAATTACATCACTGCTGCCGCATGATTAAAATGTGCCAGATCAACAGCGGCTAATAAATATGTATATGTGGGTAGTTATTAGGTTGTACATAATAAATACTCTCATGCATTTTTGTGATCAATAGATATTGTCAGCAATGTTGTTGAGTTGCTTCATAATGTATTTAGGACCTGAAGATTACTTTCCCTTTTTTCCTAAACTAACTCCGGACATTGGCAGAAGAGAGTCCCGGTGGACACACAGTTCTGTGTTCTCCGAGGCTTAGAAAGCAGATCTGTGCCGCGTGTGTCTGCCTGCATTGCAGACATATGCCGCCGTCACTGATACCAACTTTTATATTTAGTCCGGATTGGAGCGTCTTCCTTCGACAGCATCGGGTTTCAGAGTGCAGAAAGTGTCTCACAGCTTCGCGGCTGTCTTTGCCAGAGAGGTTCGCCAGTGGTGGCCTCCATGTCGGGGGCCCCGGGGCTCACTGCCATCGGCTTGTCGTGGCGAATTACATCTCAAGAGCGAATAGCAACGTCTTCTCCATGCGGGACGGTTAAATGCAGAGCAGGTGGTGGAGTCTGTGTAGTGTCCTCGCCAGCATATTTTGTCATCGCGCCTTCTGTTGCTTTATTGGGCCTGTGGAGGAGGAGGAGGAGGAGGAGGAGGAGGGAAGAGGGGTGACCTGTTTTAAACTCTGTGCTGTAACCAGGGTGGCCGGCCTGGCGTTGAATTTCAAACACAACATGAAGGGAGGAGGAGGAGGCGGGGGCCTGTTTGGGATTCAGCAGCACACATGAAGACTCGATGACTTGCCCCTCCTCATTGGACTTAATTTCCCCCGTTGGCTTCGAAATGAAGACTTTAGCAATGACAAGACGATCTGTTATTTGTATGCAGCGGCGGCGGCTCTCAGGGGGGGGCAAGAGATTTTGTTACTGATGATGTAGGCCATAAACAGTGAGTACATGGTCACCTGGAGGACTGCTCTCTGAAATGACAGCCCGCTCCGGCTGCTAGAATTGCTGTTAATAGAAACAGGAGGCGTCATTACCGACCAATCAAGTCATCGGCCACCAGTCGAATGTATAAATATTTTGATAATCATATAATCGTTATTTTGTGAGCAAAAAAGCCAAACATTTCCTGGTTCCAGCTTCACAAATGTGAGGATGTGGTGCTTTTTGTTGTCGTACGTGAGAGTAAACTGAATATAGTCGAAGACATTTACAGACATCACCTTTCTACAAAATTCTACATTAGACAAAACAATTGATCAATTAATTGAGTAAATAGCCAATAGATTAATCAATATTGAAAATTGTCATTATTTTCAGTTCTACCGTAAGAGATGTATACCTCAGTATCCATCCCTTTAATATCTTTATATAATCTGTGTTAGCTCTCTGCTTCTCAACCTTTGAGGCATTTGGCCTTACAGAGCTTCATCTACTTGCAACCTCTCATCACAGGACACAAAATCAATTCTAAACAGTTTAATCGCACTTTCAAATAGTTTTATTTTCATAATTTTTAGTGGCCTAGAGATGTGAATTAATCCATTGATCCACAAGCGAAAAGCAACAATTGGAAAAAAATGAGTTGTTCTGCTTTATAACATATAAATGTTATCTTGTCACAATATACATAAATATTTTGATCTAAAATGACATTGTACTGTGATAGGTCATTTTATTCATACTGTAGCTCTCATTCCTAGTCTAAAGCCACTTACAATAAGAGCTAAAGGTCCATCCCTTCCAAACAGACTTGTTCACTTTCACTATTAGAGCCATTCATTCGTTAGAGGAATATTTTTTAATTAATATTCTGTATATAATAATATATAGTATATCATATTTGCTAAGGATAACTAGGTCTGTATTTAATATTTAATAAAGGTCGAGAACAACCTGAGACGGCTCGCTCTTCTGATTAAGTAAAGCCCCACTAATCAATGTCCTTACATTAACAATAGCTCAGATAACTGTATAACATGAATGAAGATCCCACACAGAATTATCAAACACCTCTGCAGAATGAGCTGCTCATCACCATAGTGGGGACGGACTAAGTTAGCGACTAGCTGGTGAAGGTAGTGAAGCATTTAGCCCCTAAAGAGACAGATACTCGTTTAGGAGTTGGTGGAGACCAAAAACAGAGGTATTGTTGGCCAAGTATTGATCAGGTGGACAGATACACGACTCAAAGTCAATCCTCATGTTGTTCCGTGTCTGCTGGATGTGAAAATAGTGAATTTGCTATATCAACTTTGAAATATGATATTACAAATATTACCATCTTATTATTAGGTGATAATACGTCAGCTTAGGTTTTACAGCTACCCACAGATGATTTTGGGGTGTACTGTCCCTTTAAGTTGTCGCATTCAATCAATAGACATGTAGAACACTCATACAGCACCAGTACTTAGTTTTTACTCTGCTGAACAAGCAAAAGACACACCAAACCGAGAAGCATTTAATACATTGATTCAAGCTCCTATTGCTCTTGTTGCATCAAATGACGATTGCTCACCAGTTTTCTCTCTAAATAGGTGAAAAGCAGCTCAGTACCTGAGTATTAATGCATACTTACAATATGTGATGATTCACATGATACATGTTCATATAACATGTAGCTCAGCACCTTGAGAAATTGCATCCCATAGGAAACCAGACGACTGGCAGGCCTGTGGAAAATGTGGCTGGTGCATACAGCAGCTCTAGTAGCAGAGGGAACCACAGCAGGAGGATTCAGATGAAGAGGTCACAGAAACGCTGAACAGACAACTCTTGAGACGACTTTAAAGAGACAATCTACTGTCTCTCAGTCCTCACGATGTGGTTCAGCTCCATTAAACGTCATGCCACTGAGGATTTATCTATCTCGCATCCGACTGCCCACAACTTGTCAATAACGGCCATTTTTACAGGTTTGGCTTACGTAATAGAAACCGCAGCTACATGTTTGAGTTACAAACACAAAGAGATACTCTGGCAATATTGTGGAAAACTTACAAAGGTTCTGATGATCAGTTAACCACAAGTCATTTTGTAAATATTGAGTGTGGTTTCTTTTAATCTTCTATGATAGTTAACTAAATATATTTGGGTTTTGGACCGTTGGTGGAAACAATTTGATGGTCATTTTTGACTATTTGACACTATTCTGATCATTTAGAGACCAAACGATTGATCAATAATTAAAATATTCGTTAGTTGCTTAGCTCATGCTTCCTTCAGGAGCTGCCAGTGTCGTGTGTGTGTGTGTGTTCCCTCACTATAACCCTTCTTATCACTTCACCCTCAGCTGAGACTCATCATCTTCGTGTGTCATAGTGCTGGTATGGAAATTCATGTGTGGATGTCTGCATGACACACGATCAAGTCGAGCCGTGTTACACAGCTGGTAGACATTCTCAAACTACTCTCACTGTGTTCCATTTAGATCAGGGTGATAATTCAATATGATCATTTATAATCATATGGTGACGTAATCATATATATCAAGATATCAGGATCCTTTTCAGGCTGGTATTATCCAGCGTCTGTAACTATTCCTACGGAAAAAAACATGCCGTGATTCGAAGATATCCTACGACATGATTTCATATGTTATCCACATAATTATGAACGAGGAAGTAGAAGACCTCAAAAGCCCACACAGGGTGGGCAGAAGGGAGATGGATGGGTCTCACAAACACTTATCTTTCCTCCAAGAGGCCGCAGTCAACGTTGATTTATTTGCCACGTAATTTGCGTAGTTTGCGAACATCACTTCCCTAGTTCCTTTTTTCCTAAACCTAACCAAGTAGTTCTGTTGCTTAACCTAACTAAGTATTTCACAATCTTTTTCTAAACCTCACTAAGTTGTTTCCTGTGAAGACGGAAGATTATTCTGAAAAGGCCGTATGCATGTAATGAGCGGAATATCATACGAAGCGCTGTATGAGGATACTTTGCACAATTACATCGTCTAAATTGACAATAACAAGCACACACTTACTCAAATTTCTCTGAAAAATCTGATTATTTGACAGTAATGTTCGTAATAAAATGAGAAATTACTCACAGTAATACTTGACAAATATAAAGTACTCAAAGTACTTGTTAACTAGCATTTGTTAAGTATTTAATTCACACAAGAGTGTACAAAACCATGTGGTTATTTTATATTGAATGTTTATTTATTGAATGACCAGATTTCCAAAATGTCCTAATGGAAATGAAATGACATATATCATGATACAAGATTTTGGTCATATCACCCAGCCCTAGTCTAAGTCTGAAGGACTCCTTATTCTTGTGGTTAGACTGCGACCACATCTAGGAAACTAGGAAACTACAGCAGTCAAAGGACACACTGATGATCTGTCATGGTGAAAGACCTTTGCCCAGTCATTAAGTGCACACCCTGCCAGACGGGGCAGAGGCTTGTTTAAGCTACGGTCAGAGAGGGAACATGGCAGCCTAAGAGCATGCAAAGATATATATATATATATATATATATATATATATATATATACAGCCGTTAATCACTTCTGTGTTATTGTATTTTTTGAACGTAACGTGAAGCCTCAGGACATTCTTGACTAATTGTTAAGAGGGAACTTTTAATCAGAGGGCAAAACTGGTGGAGCCCTTGCCGTCGCAGTCACATTGGCTCATTTCCTGCTGAGAGCCGGTTTCAGGGTGCACACACACACACACACACACACACACACAGAGGCATTCTGCTCCCTCTCTAGTCAGAGGGCCTGGCAGCAGGACGGCGAGCAGCCTCCTCTTGGAAAGGGGAGGGGGAAGGTCAGGACGATGAGTTGGCCCCCCTCGCTAGAGTCGGATCATCAGGCAGCCGCTCCACACCCCAGTGCCAGTGAGACATACCCAGCTGAGACACACACCGCTTCAGCTGCCGCGCACAACGCCCTCTTTCATCCCGCAGCCCCTCATTTGAAATGCTAAGATCGGCGCAACAGGAGGAAGCGTCTCGCCTCGGATCAAAGAGGCTCTTTGATATGTCCCCTCTCTTTTTCTCTCTCTTCCTCTCCATGTGTGTGTGTGTGTGTGTGTGTGTGTGTGCGCGCAGGCATATTCACGAAGCAGGTGATTGCCATCCCGAGCGGCAGATAAATTTGTGTCGTCTGTCTGCCGTCTCCTCCTCCTTCTCGCTCTAATTGCTCTGCTCCTTTTTTGTTCCACCTTGATCCTCTCTCTCTCCTCCTCCTCCTCCTCCTCCCCCCTCGCCTCGGCTGCTAAAGCACAGGCATTGTAATCGCGCCAACGAAGTGCCGAGATAAAGGCCCGTTCCCGGCTTTCATTCTGTTCCCTGTGCTCTCTCTCTCTCTCTTTTGTTACATCCATCTCTCCAACCTCCCCCCCCCCCCCCCCCCCCCCCCCACCGCCCTCTAGATAACAGGAGCCATCCTGCTGGCAGTGGGAGTATGGGGGAAGTTGATGCTGGGCCCGTACATCTCTCTGATCGCCGACAACTCCACCAACGCCCCGTACGTCCTCATCGGCACCGGCACCGTCATCATCGTTTTTGGCCTGTTCGGATGCTTCGCCACCTGCAGAGGAAGCCCATGGATGCTGAAGCTGGTGATACGCTGGGGGGGATGCTGGTTAATTAGCCCTCAGGTCACATGATAAAGGGAATAATGGCTGAACTCTATCCTGTAAAGAGGGATCAGAAATCCAATAGATGCTGCAGGACGCTTTGTTCTGTTAATGGTGGTCAAGTGTGTGTGTGTGTGTGTGTGTGTGTGTGTGTGCAAGCATAGGCAAATGACACACTTAGGCAGAGGGTTATCATGCAAACTATGCAAATCTCCTTCTTCTTTCTCTGCAGTATGCCATGTTCCTGTCGCTCGTCTTCCTCGCCGAGCTGGTGGCCGGGATCTCTGGATTTGTGTTTCGCCATGAGGTCAGCAATGCAACTCACCACTTGGCAACAAGTCTAATGCTAGAGCTGTGCAAAGCACTCTCACGCCCTTTAACGTGCTTACTGATCTGGTGTGCGTGTGTGTTTGCGCGCTGCAGATAAAGGGGACCTTTCACAGGACGTACACCGACGCAGTGCTGAACTACAACGCCGAGGACGAGGCGAGCCGCGCCGTGGATAACCTGCAGCACCGGGTGAGTCCGGCCCTCGTGACACGATACCATGGAGGTGAAACAGCTGATGCATGCATCGCCAGCCAACCAAAACACAACCATGAATGTTGAAGTTTGATTTTTTGTCTTTTTTTTTTTTTAAAGGATTACACCAGATCTACTCACTCTTTTTCTTCCCATGAAAAGACAAAAATTGAAATGAGTTCATGCTACTTACAGGTGTTGCCTATATATTTGTAGCCAAAGCTGAATATAGCTTGTTTGTCTGTGTCATGCCGTTTATTAATTAATAAATTAAATATTTATGAATCCACAGCTGAAAATAGTCCCCAATAAATGCAATCTTTATTATTATTATGGTATATTATTTTTATTTACTGCTGTTTGATTAGCGCTTGCTGAAAACTACAGTGCTCAGTTCTTTCTTTCTTTTTTAAATTAAACTCTATATTTGTTGTGACTTGTTTTTAAAGATCTATGTCTTCAATAAGAAGCAACAGGGCTGAGTGTCAGTCGTAAACTATTCAGAGATATGTTTTGGTCTTCACATGGGATTTTTTGACAGTGAGTAATGTTTTCATCTGCTTCTCATAATGTTCTCCCCTGTATATTTCTAGCTGCGTTGCTGCGGAGTGTATAACTACACCAGTTGGTTTGGCAGTGTGTATTACCCGTCCAACGGCATTCCCGCCAGCTGCTGCTTTAAGTCCTCCGACTGCAACCCGGACGACCTCCGCAATGCAACTCTAGCCGCGAGCAAAGTCTACCACCAGGTCAGCTCGCCACTGCATTTTTCTGCTCAGTTCTTCATGTAGTCGATGACTCTCACCGGTCAGAAGATGACTGTATCAATACTCTGATGGGGAAATCATTCAGCTTTTTCAAAACCATTTCCCTCCGTACACTAACACCTGCCTCAGATATTCTCCCAGACCCCGTTCCCTCCTCTGCAAACTAACCTGCCCCCCTTTGTTTCAGGGCTGCTACGAGCTGGTCACTTCATTCATGGAGACCAACATGGCCATTATTGCGGGAGTGACGTTTGGGATCGCCTTCTCACAGGTAAGACTTGAAAAAAAAACAGTTCAGGGTTTGCAGGTGGTGATGTGCAAATAAACATCAATAAAGGATTATTACTATTAAATTATGTTAATTAAGAAGATCAATCACACTGTTGTGGCCTACTGGGACCTTTGGACATAACAGACCCATTGTTATTGTTATTAGTAACACCTGCGCTTTTCCTGCTGTGACACATTATGGCGAAAAAAGACCCATTGCATGAAACAAGTACCTCAATCTAAATTGCCAGAAATAGATACCAATAGACTTTTCCATATCCTTCTTCTTTGTCTTCTAAACAAGCATGTAACAAAGCTAGATGAAGGAAGGAGACACTTGTAGCACGGCCGTTCTTACAACAGGAATCAGAAGGTTTCACAGGAAATGACGTTTCGATTTTTGAGAAAATGACAATTCAAATGTTCTTTTTTAACCCCGAATGTGAAATAATCAAAAAAAAACTTGTCTGTCTGTCTTTCAGCTGATTGGCATGTTGCTGGCCTGCTGTCTGTCCAGGATCATCACAGCCAATCAGTATGAGATGGTTTAGCTGATGTGAGGTGGCAGGTGGGAGACATTTAAAGATGCACACATACACACACACATTCAGAGTTAAAGCTGCTATAGTCAATGTTTTATGTTAACAATGAATAACTTTACAAGGACAATGTAGAAGGTGTCACTCGTAGTGTCAGAACTTGGTTTTACAGCCAACAACTTAAAACTCGGGTAGGTCGTGTATTTCATAAAACCTTTTTTTTGTATTTGTTGAAATTCTCTTTACATTCTGACATCAATCAATAACTCAAATGCTCTGACAAAAAAAGAAAAAGGGAAGAATATCTGGTATCTGTGGCTGTCGCAGGACTGTAATACATCTACCTGCCTGTCTACCTATCTTCTCTCTGTGCGCTCATTGCTCGTAAGCAAAGTCTTCCACAAGCTGCTATCTGGACAGCTGTGACTACTAACAACAGCCATGTCCGTTGTCTACACTCATAATGATCATTTTGGGGTAGTGGCTTTGGAAGGATGCCCGAAGGGAGGGACCGTCAGTGTTGCCGACTTGGCAACTCTCCAGCTAGGTTTAGCAACTTTCAGAGCTAGTGCTGCTAGCTACTTTCATCAGACAAGAGTTGGCGAACCAGGGCTGGGTTTTTCCGTTGGATCATTTCTAAATCTAGCGCACTCTTGCTGGTTTCTCCAAAGTTGTCGACTGCAGCTTTACCCGCTCTTCAGCATCGTTTCTAGCCACAGCAGCAGCATTTTCATTACAGAAAAATAAACTCTCCCTTCACTACCTGTCCATCCCCAAACAGCAGATAAACAAAGTCAGCAACCTGCTGGTGAACATAATGGAGCATTTAGCAGCTAAAGAGCCTGATATTTCCCTCAGGAGTTGGTAGAGACCAAATCAGAGCTAAAAGGAAAGTCAGTCGGGTGCCCAGAAACATGACTCTAAATATATACAGATGGTGATTTGTGTTTGCTGGATGTGTAAATAGGTAACTGTTTGCTAACATGTTCGCCCTAACAATTTATTGAGATGTTAGAAGTAAGGCGAAGTGCTTTAATTCATGCACAACTCTTCTGTCTTTGTGTTTTTGTGTATTCAGGGAGATGAAGAGAAGAAGAGACAAAGAGCCTTGACACATGACGACAGTAAATTCCCGAAAACACTATCACGCGTCTGACTTTGAATTTACCTCCCTCCGTCTCTCTGCCTGTGAATCTTAATGTAATATCTTAATGTATCTTACTGTAAAGCACCATTCCTCGACTCACCGCTGTTGCATCAAAGCGTTCTATACCACATATCCCACCGTTGCTTGATGTAGAGGGTTGCTCATTAGCACATATCTCAGATCAGTGCGGCCTACAACGAGCAGGTAGACCGGGGTTGTCTGGGTTGACGGCGGCGCTGGTCTCAGATAAGTGGAATTGGGTGGAACTCGGCTTCTCGGTCGGCTGCAGCATGCTCCGCCGAGCGTCATCAGAAGACCACCGCACATGTTTGTACAGAACGACATTACCGAGGCTTGAAAGTAACACTTAAATAGATAGGTTTAGTTTTGCATTTGACTTTGCTATTGTTCGCCATTGTATATTCCTATGGTCGTGACATTTTGTGAACTCATCGTGTGCACTGAGGAGGATATTTTAAGTTTATATGAAATTTAAGGGAGCCGACTTGCGTATTTTTACCTGTAGATGAGGCATGATGTTTTTTGACCTGATTATCCAACCCAAAAGCAGATTATGATGTAAATTGTGTGTTAAGATTGTAATTCAGTATCAAATACAGCTTTAGCCGGGGATAAATACACAAGAACACAGATTCCAAATGGGACGATTACCTGTCCCGCTCTACTGCCCACAGTTACTTAAAATAATGCTCTTTGCTCCTACTTACACTTATGATACTTAATGTAACTCAATCATATTTTTTATGGGGGGGTTTTTGAGGGGAAAGAAAACTAACCAAATAAATAACGCCAGTTGTGGCATAAATCAACTGAAGGCCGAGTCACACCAGAAATTGATGTTTCAGTATCTCTGCAGTAAACGGGACGATAAGTTCAAGCAGCTCATCCAAAAAGACGGAGTTGCACCATCGACTCCTGTCTCATAACTGTCAAAAGTCCATTTTGTGGAGCATCTTGTACGCCCACAGAGGAGGGTAAATAAAAACGGATGACACTACACAGCTTATGTGCTGCAATAACTCCCTCAGTGTTGCCACTCTGTTGTTCCCCTAAAGGCCAGTTCTGCTAATCCATCCGTCAAGATGACTTGTTATAGGTCAACGGCGCAAATTGGCTTTTCATTGAAATTAATTGATTTTGCCACAAAAATCCAGTATTAAACGCTGGTGGGACCCGGCCGTGTCGGGCTCTAAGTCAAGCCTTACACTCTGTTATTTTAGAGATTTGTGTGCTTCAAGCAATGCAGAGAATCATACAGATGACAATGCTTCTCTAAAGGCACTCATAGCGTTACACCCGGCTGTCAGATGAAATGTGACAGAGTCTTCAGTGTGAATAATAAAGGAGAGAGATTGAGAGGGAAGGTTAAGTCCTGCCAACGTTCACACCTCCGCACAGCTGGCCGATCTGTGCGTACAATGTGCTGCTCAACGATCCAACAAGCACTTCATTTGGCGCACACTGACACCTTCGTAATATTTCAGTACTTGTCTTGTGGTTCATCTAAAAGTAACTGACTAAATTCCAAAATGTCAAGAATTAGCTTTAAAGAGCAACTTAAATTTAGAATCTTGTTGATTTTTTGCCGACAAGGATTCTGGGTTTTTAAAGGTTTCAATATGTTAGAGATACGCAGGACTCCAGCAGTGTTCATCTAGAATTTACAGTATCCTATGCAGTGCATCAACACGCCATCATCATCATCACCTGTAGATATTTATGGGAAATGTAATTTATATGACGTAATGTTTCTCATCCTAATAAGCTAATCAGTATAAATGTTGTGTCACAGTTTTGATTCCGCACACCGTGCCGTTAGTCTGTATTTGGTTGATTAGTTTGTAGGAAAAACTCGTACTGGAAAAATAATTGTGGCCAATGTTTTTGTTGAGAGTGACGTGCAACCTGTAGGTGTTTCAATTTTAGCTGTGTATTTATTATGGTTTGGTTGGCATTAAGTTTACACCAAGTGATTTTCTATCGCTCTTTCAGTATGTGTGCGTGTGAGTGATTTTTCTGTCTTTTATTTGACTGTCTCCTGAACCTCGAGTATGTCTTTTCCTTGTGTGTGTGTGTGTGTGTGTGTGTGTGCGTGTGTGTGTGTGGGGGGGGGGTGAGAGAGAGAGAGAGAGAGTCTAGATTTCGTGGATCCCGCTGTCTTCATTTTTGGTCAGTATTTGGTCGTAGCTTTTCAAAGCTTGTCACTTAAACTGTGAATTTATTTAAGTGACTGTATGTTTTCCGACGCTCCTTCCCTAAACTGATATTGTGCTGTAAATACTAAACTGTAATACCATCCTGCTTACACATGGGGTCACCAGACACTGGAAAAGAATGGCACCACGCTGTCTGCTATTGACTAAGTCACCATCAGTGGTCTTATTATCAATAAATATATAGAATAACAAATGTGTTTGTTCATTTTTTGCTACCATGAAGACAGCTCTGTACCTCTGAAATGTTGAGTTCAACAGTTGTTTTATATATTTACCAATAATACCACTGGTCTATAGATCACTTCAAATGTTTCCAAATTCTTCTGAAGGTGAGACCCTGGTTAAACTATAAGACTGTGCTACGAAGAGATGATGTATTAGTCATAAATTATATATTTTCCTGATTTGTTTTTAATAATCTGGGTTGTTTCCACACATTACTAGGACAAGCTATATTTACAGCTGCAGGTTTAGTGTAAGAAGAGGTTGGGTTAAAGGTGAAGTCTCTTGAGATTAGACTAAATTGTGTGGGTGGGTGCGCTATTTATCGAGATTGGGACAACCAACATGTGGGACATGTTGATGAAGAAATAGACTGCTAGGTATGTATATGAGTTGTCGGGTAACAGAGCAGCAGCGGTGAATGGCCAGCCTATGGCCTGGATTCTGTCAACAGAAACACAACAAACAATGGATGCAGGGATAAATTAGGTAAATTAGGTAAAAATAAGTGATGGAACAGCATACTTTCCTGCTACTCTGCAGCTTGGATGAAGACAATAATTAAACTTTTGTTTTCTACTAAAATAAAAGACAAATACCAAGAATTAGACACACATTCACTTTCACTATTATGAATTAATTGACTTTGTACAATAATCAGAATAACACTTGAAACAATACTGCCTTTTGCTCCACCAAAACCAGCCTCCTCTTTTATTCTCATGTATTCTGTGGTTCTCACTGTTGCCATGATGTTCAACTTCATTTTCTCATAAGCATTTTTTTTATTTGTACTTTTTGTTGTTGTTCCGTTTTCTCATTTTATTATAGGCCTCTTCAAAAGTGAAAAAAATAAACTATATTTTATAAAACTGTGACTGGTTTTCTTTGAAAGAGCCTCTCAGCTCCGGCTGGTTTACTTGATGACATCACTGTGCAGGCTACCGTCCTCGGCCACGTGGCGGCGCTTAGGTATCAGCGGAAAACGGAGTTGTGGCGAGGGGATTCATAAAAAAAAAGAGAGAGAGAGGGAGCGCCGCATGTGTGTGGAAACGGATCACCGAGCACCACACACGCACACACGCACACGCGCAGAAACACACACGCACACACATTCTCCGTCCGCTTGTTCTCCTGCGCTGCTGCATAGCAAAACAACGAGGCCGGAAAAAAGCGGTGGCCACACGGGTAAAGAGAGGCCGTTTCTCGGGGAGATCGCGCTATCCGTTCCGATCTTGTTACGCAAATTACCGGCAGAGCGGCGCGGCAGTGGGTCCGCTAATGGAGCGTGCGTGCCGCTGGCTTCCGTTCCGTGCCCCCCGGCTCCCCTCACTCCGTTCCGACTCCCGAATGCCCTTATTAATGAGCTGTAAGCTAGAGGGAGGCATCCACCGGAGAGGCGCTATTACTCACACAGACACACACGCGCAGACCCGGACTCAAGGGCGCACGGACACGTTCACGTGCAGCCAGTCTGTGAGAAAAGGCTGTTTGCAGTCACTACATTTTTGAACACCAAAAATACTAAATGTGTACTATATTTCTGCTTCATGTCGGAATCTTAGCATGTTTTTTTTTTAAACAAATGGCTATAAAGAACTAACACTGAAACGTGTCTCCTCCCGTTCCAAACAGGTGGCATTGTTACCAGGCCATGTTTATTCAACTGCGGATTTTTAATGTTTGATATAATTTTCAAAAGGATATATATATATATATATATATATATATATATATAGTAAATTGTATTTCTCAACATGAAGGTCTACATGCTGTTCCATAGAATACTGGGAATCAAGTCTCACTGTAAAATGTATCTGTCAAAAATCTAGAAATACAATTTACAATGAAAATAAAAACGACTAAATTCAATTATTATTTTCACGGTAGCCTAAATTCACATATTTTTGTCAAGCTTATAGTCAAATGGAAACTGCATTAACTTGGAACATAAAAGGGGCAGATTCTAAACAAGAAAGGATCAAACTCTTTTTTATTTCACTCATTCTTCATCCTTGCTAAAACGCGCTGCCTACATTACCCAATATGCAACTTGACCGCTAACAATTTAGTTAGAGATTCGGTTGTGTATAGCGGCTAAAGTGCCTCGAGCTGCTATCTAGGAGATGTGAGGATCTGGTAATGTAGCAAACCTATTTCAAAGTTTTAAGACTTTTTTTACAAGATTGATAAAAAAAAATTGTGAAACTGTCCTTTAAAGTGCTAAAATCCAAATATATTGGAAAAACAGAGGAATAAGTCATTTTAATAGCTTCCTTATCTAAACTCCTCAGCAGGTTGTTGAAATCTCCCAAACTCCCAGAATAAAATGAATAAACCACTTATAGAAAGGACTCGTACCATTACAGTGTCACTTACGGCCATGATGCTAATGGGTGCTGCTCATCGGGAGAATACATTGTATAGTGAAGATAAACAGCTTCAAATCATAACAATAAGCGGCTCACGTGGCTCAGTGTGACAGAAATGTGTTTTTAAATGGCAATTTTGTTCAGAATAAAAAAAATCGTATTAAACCTGCGACAATACTTTTACTGCTTGAATATGATCTCACTATGTATTTCATTAATTGAGCATTAAGCTTTTCTCTCTTTCGAACAGAACCTCTCCCGTCCACAGCGATAACCTCATTACACCGCTGCAGAGCAGCATAGCGGGCCTGTCCGCTCCGCTCCGCCCGTCTGTCTGCGATCAGAGCTGTTGTGCTTGTTGTCGTTCTAATTGCTGCGGCTGCTTTCGCCTCCAGCTTCTCCGCTGAACTTAGACACCCGTGCCTCACACGTTTCAGGGAACACGCAGCAGACGTGATGACAAGTACTCGAGTTCCCACTCAAGGCTGCCTGTTCCCACAGCGCAGCCCCCCTCCTCTCCCCCCCATCCCCAGCCCCACCTCCACTTACTCCTCTCTCCCTTTGAAGCCTTGTGGGATGATGATGATGATGACACCCGCCGTAATCGGTGGATGCCCAGCTCCTAACACTACACACAATCGAGAAAGAACCCTTCCGTAGTGGTCCAGGGTTTGCATTGTCACATTCATGCACAGTACAACCCCCCCCCCCCCCCCCCCCCCTTACAAGTGGAATGGCCTTTCACGAGGAGAATAGAGGGAGTCTGTGGGGGCCTTGATTGACAGCCCGGTTGAGGAAGCTGTTCCTATCTGATCAGCAGAGGTGCACATCTGCTGACCTGCTTCTTTTCTCTCTCTGACTGGATCTGGGATCAGTTTATCTGCAGAGGGGGGGGGGGGGGGGGGTTGGTGGGGGGGTTTTTTTTTGTTTTTTTTGCAGTGGGGCACTCGGGGGGGGGGGATTAGTCAGCTTGTGTTTGTGTAGTTTTGCTGCTGAGGCAGGTTTGGGATTGAGGGGATGTGGTAGAGTGGGAAATAGCGCAGTTACATTTACTCAACCATTGTATATAAGTACAACTCCAAGCTGTACTCCTCAGCCTTTCAGAGTGAAATATTGTACTTTTCACTATTTCTTTGACAGCAGTAGATGTTGCAAAGTAAGTTTCAGATACAAAACCTGTCGACATATTTTAATATATGAAGAATTATTGAAGATTCAACTTGACAGCAGCAGATCTCTGGTCTCCAGTGTGACCATTGGAGGTGGACTCTGTGTTCATGATGCTTGGTGTTTAAACACAGTGAAAGTTGAAGGACAGTGTTTCCCTGATGTCAAATTGTAATGTCAAGATGTCGGCCCAGAAAATTGTTTTGTTGCTGCTGGTTGACTTCCTCCTGATGCAAGTACAAAAGAAATGCACAGGAGTGCACAAGTGTTTTTGTTTGGTTGTTTGTTGTGTTATTATTGTGTAGAAAATGGGCTATAACTGCATTTCATTGTGCAGAATGAAAATACATTGTCCTTGAATCCTTGAATCCTTAACCCAAATAATAGTTACAGTAAAATCAGCACCACCTTAACTAGGCGCAACATAGAAATGCTGTGTATATGTTTAATCATCATAATAATGTAACACTGACGGTGTGGAGGCTGAAATCTTCCCCACCGAGAGAAGGCCGGAGAGCACGCTCCACTGTTGTTTTACAGTAGAGTTGCTTCTTAATAAATCTACCATATACTGATTTACAATTAAAAGTATTTAATCCTACTGAAGCTAATACAATTACAGAATGAAGTACACTACTAACAGAATATATAATAATATGATCCGCGTGGAAAAGCTATTCACTCGCGACTCAGCCTGAAAACACAGATGTTTCCACGCTGAGAGCCGAGCAAGAAGAGCGAATAGCCCTTCCAGCACTTCCTCATACAGTTTGAAATCCCCCCCCTTTTGTCCAAATTCCTATTGGCTAATTTCGGTTGCCTCCTCCTGGCGTCAGGCTTCCGAAAACCCTCGCGCGGGTACAACCTGCAAATGTCTGTCTAGAAGTCTGACTTTCCCTTGGCTATTCTTCACAGTTTAATACATTCAATGACTGTCTTTTATGGCTTAACACTCCTACGATAAACATTCTATATAAAGATAAGGATTTGCAACTTTTGGCAAAAACCTTCACAAGTTTCACAAACAAATATAAAGGTGCTACAAATTCTACTAAGATACACTTCTAACTACAAAACACTTCTAACTACAAATTCTAAAACACTTACAATTATGAATCTTCTAATTATTATTCCAAAACACTTCTAATTATGATTTCTTAATTATGAATCATTAAACACTTCTATTGGAATTTCTTAAAACACACTTCTAAACCCCAAATTTCCTACAACAGACACCATTCTGCTGCAATTTAAGTACTTTTACTTTTGTTACTTTGAGTGCATTTTGCTGCTAATACTTCTATATCTAAGTAATCTTAGATTGGAATTTTTATACATATTTTTACTTTAACTAACTAAAGTAAAGGATTTGTGTACTTCTTCCATAGTACTGTACTTAATAGCAATTCTAAAGGTACTTCTATTTGAGTAATTCAATTTGATACTTTAATGCCACTCCATTTCAGAGAGATATGTTGTACTTTTTTACAGTGAGTAGGGTGGCTGTGCCACTGCCATTTATAAACATACCTTGTCAGCTGATACCAATGCCAATATCAACATTGTCTGTCAATTGCATGATAATCATACATACAAGCTATTCAAACTGATGTTTTCATTTTAAACATAAAGGTGGAAACGAAAATGAGTGATGGCCTATTAGTGCCACTGCCATGCATAAAGATACCTGTTATCTTTCATACAATACTGAACTATTAAAATAATGGACAGAAAAAAAGAAGAAAAAAAAATCAAACAAAAATTTCGCGGACCCCCCTGCAATACCTCCGCGGAGCCCCTAGGGGTCGCGGGCCTGCTGTTGAAGACCTCTGATATAGACTAAATAAGCGTCACTCTAGCAGCTACAATCCTGCTTATGTTCATCTATTAGCTAGTAGGCCTAATACATATCTTAAGTACATTTAGCTGTGATCCTTTTACTTGTAATGCAGGGATTTTACTGATAAAGGAGCATTGTGGTGTCACTACTTTTACTCGAGTATGAATACTTGTTCCACCAGTAGCTTCAGGACAGGGAGTTGTGGTAACGACGTAGAATAAAAGAAAAGGAGATGTAGGTGGGACAGAGACAGAGAGACAGAAACTCAACCAGCAGGTTTTGCCGTTGACATTCTTCCCATTCTAGCTGAGCAACAATTTTCTTTTGACAATGATTCATTTGCTTGTACGGGGACAACCTGTGCCCAAATACACCTCTGATGGAGTTTCAGCCAGATCCACCCTCCCCTCCCTCCTCTCTGTCATTCCTGTGGGAATAGTGCTGCGGAACTATTCTAAATAGTCATTCACCGAATCAGTCAGACATGTTTTCATTGAACAGACAGGTGGATTTATGTTTTTGTTGATGGCTACACAGTGAAAAAACATGTTGCTCTGTAGTTTCAGTCTGACCAGAGGTGTTTACCAAAGCTCAGGTTTCAGACCAAGCACTCCCGAAAGTGCAGGGGGGAATCAGCTGTTCTCCGATGCTGCTGGAAACTGGCTGGTGCAACAGTTTGTTTTGAGGTGTAATCTGAAAAGCTTGTCAGTACTGTAACTGGCTTAGACTAAAGTTACCCTGAGGGGAGATAAGCAGGCCTGTAATATCCCTGCAAGGACTGCTATGGATGTGGAACTCAATAAAGTGTGAACTTTATTTTTTTATGACATTTTCTTTCCACATTGTATGACTGTTGTGCACATTGATTTAGCACCAATTACTTCACTTATGTGGCATCCTGGATTCTCGCTATGTTTTCCACTAGCTTTTGTGTTGACCGATCAGTGGAGCTCTAAAAATCTACTAAACAGAGAACAATTAGTCAAAATGATAGAGGGAATAAGCCAAAACACAGTTTTAGGGGTGATCAGTGGTGGGAAATAACCAAGTAGGCTACATTTATAAATAAAGTAGAACATTTTCATTTAAATCAATGTCTGTTTGGTCACTATCACCAAATGAGGTAACAACATGGTGATTGAGCCCACTGATGAAAGCCTTTGCATTTTGCAGTATTATGAGCCGGGTATTTGTGGCAACACTCCTGGGAAAGGCGACACTGTTTGGATCTCTGGGAAGTGAGATCCACAAACACAGGCATCAAATATCATGATATTTTGACCAGATACCCCGATGCTGTACGGTTGACCACTGGTGATTTCACTTGATATATACACAATGATATTGTTTGACATGTAATCATCAGAAATGTGGACATAATTAGTGAGTGGTTCAAGGCAAATAATAGAACAGCTAGACAGTCTGGTTAGTTCAGATGATAACATCATGTTATTGTCATGCAGCCTTTAAAACCAGGAAAAGACTCATGCCATATTCGGACATGAAGATGTCAAACTCTAGTCTCATATCACGATAACTTTAACGACAGTTTTCAGGTGTACATTTGTTGTTTTCTTCTTTCCTACCCCACTAATCATCTCATCATGACTCCTCAGATTTATCCTCAGACCGTTTGGGTTGGGAACCACTGGACTGAACTACCTGATCACAACCAGCTCCACCTGAACCAGCTACGCCAGTAAACATTGATCATATTTAATAATACCAGTTATGTCACTTACTCCATATCAGGGGATATTTTGTCTGCAGAGGGACTACTTTTACTTTTGAAACTTTAAGTATATTTTGCGAACAATACTTTTACGAGTTCTACTTGTACCGGAGTACATCAACTTATATTCAACCTCTTGGTAGTTGTATTTAAGGAATACTTCTTCCACCGCTGGTGACACACTGACAGTCAGTCTATGAATGAAATCGAGGCTTCAACGCTCTGACCACTTGTTGCCTCTGTTGTTCTCTAGCGTGAGTCAAAAGTGGCTTCCTCATTGGTCCAACCCCGACTTGTCCCGCCTCCGAGGAAATCGTCATCTCATTGGCTGCACAGTCGGCTGGGAGCGGTGGTCCGATGGCCTTGATAATGAATATTCATGTCACTGGTCCTGCTCGGACGGGGTCTCACCCATGGCTTGTCATCGGAACAGAATGTGGGCTGTGGTGATGTAACTGTCGGTTTCTTTCTCCGGAAGACATCTCATCGCACATAATCACGGCACAGCAATGTTTGTTCGGGATGTTGATAAGTGAGTGGATATCTGTTGTAGATTTATTTTGGATCTGCACTCTATGGAGTTGGATTCAACACCTTGCTGTCAATTTGAAGCCACTCTTCAAAAAGAATGTGCCTAACCCCTGTGCTCTTCCGGGTGCTACTTCAGTTCATTTGGGTCCGGTTTCAGCTGTAGCGGCAGAACTTGACAAACAGGTCGTGGGACCGCCTTTAAACCAAGACCCAGCCTTTATAAATACGCACCGTTTCTTCCTGCAAACTAGAAACCACGACAAGCGCTCCGACGCTCATCAGGGGCTGAAACTAAAGTCGCCTGATTTACAGGACAGCCAATCCCCGCTGCAGCATTACTGACAGGCAGACGCTCCTCTATAAGCCGATCAACCCGGAATTAAAGCGGGGCACTCACAGAGGAGAAACAAACAAGACAAGAAACTCGGATCGCTTTCATTTTTGCTCCAGAAGGAGCAACAACAAAACAAACTCTCGTCAACATGATGATGCAGCTGCCAGAATCCTACACTCAGAAGAACTCCCTCTTCTGCGCCATGAACCGCTTCATTGGCGCGGTCAACAACATGGACCAGACCGTGATGCTGCCCACTATGCTGCGGGACGTCCCGCTGGAGGAGGACAGGGAGATGAGCTCCATGAAGTCGGACGAGGACGAGGGGGACATGTACAGCTACTACCAGCTGCTCAAGTCCATCCGCTGTGACATCGAGTGGGGGGTGCGGTGCGCGGAAGCCGACGAGAGGCGCAAGGAGAGCATGACGACCAGCCGCAAGAACTCGTCCATGTCCACCACCTCCACCGCGTCCACCGCGTCGATGTCGTCCGAGGAGGACGAGGAGGAGGACGAGGATTTGCAGAAGCAGTTCCAGTACCACCTGACCGGGCTGCAAGGGGTGCTGTCAAAGCTCACGCTGCAGGCCAACTTTCTCACCAAGCGCTACAAGCAGGAGCTCGGGATCGGAGGATGGGGCCAGTAGCGCGCAGAAACTGACAGCGCACCGTTTTTTGTATTGGACTTCTCTTAATGGGCCTTTTATATTTTATTTTTTTTACTGCTGCTGTTACTACTACTGATGAAATTTGTGGACAAACATTTGAATGGTAGATAAAAGAAAGGGGGCAGCTTATATCTCTCTTTATGTGGTATTATTGACTGCGGATGTGTCGATCCCGGGGGAATGCGTTTTGTGCACTTGACGCCCAACTCCTGTTTTGCACTACAAAGTTTTGTACACATCGCGTATTCCCCGTAACGCTCAGATGAAACATATTTAAAACCTGTTATTTAATGTATAATTTATTACTTCACGCTGTATAGTTTGAGAGCCCATATGTTCTGCCGAAAGCCGGAGGAGAGGACCGCATGAACCCGCAGGGCCTGTCTGAACCGCCCCCACCTCTCTGAGGGGAGGGGGGGGGATACTGATGAAAGATTCTGCTTCCTGTTTGTGTCGCCGATGATGTCAGTGTGTTCAGACGGACGTGGCCCGTGTGTGTGTGATCGGTGCCCCCTTCGAGCCTGACGTGTCTGTGTCTTTAAACTTAGCTTTATGGAGGGAGGCAGATGCTCACTGCCTGTGATCTCCTAATGCCCTACATGGCCAATGAACCAGAATGGTGCCTCTGCATTAAGAATAATGAGAGGTTTCCAACAAGATGCTTTTGTTGCCATTGTCATTTATTTGCTATTGTTTGGACGTGTCCATCTGTCGAAAAGAACAAAGGCGTCTGCGCCTTCTGCACCTCTTTTGTACTGATATTTGTTTTCTAAAAAAATAAACTTTTCTATGAACTTACTTAATTTGTCCCGTTGGTTTTTCATGAATGCAGTTTGGCTACATATTGAGCTTCATACATCACAGAACAAAAACTGAATGTGGAATGTGGTATCACTGTACATATCCTCCATTGTGCAGCGTTAATACAGGAAATGCCTGACATATCACAGGTAGAAGCAATGTCAAAAAGGCACGTTCATCTTGTGTGGCATAAAACATCTGGGTACAAAGCATACAAATATAGTTGAAAGGGAAACAGTTTTCCTTCAGGATCAAAGGTGTTTTACTATAGAATTCAGAAATTCAACACAGAGACTGTATCTCTTCTTTAGTGTCTTCAGTTCTCTCCCATCGGCTTAGAAAAACAGCTGTTTTCTAACAGTGGGAATTATTTAGCCCATGATTTCCAGGCAGCATTTAAACACGCAAAGAGGCCTCAGCTGTTGGAGATAATGTCCAACCACTGCACCTAAAACTACAGCCCTGTTGACTAAGAACAATTTGACACAGCAGTATTATTGGGATTATTGAGGGAGATCAAGGTAGCTAAGAGGAGCTACACAGTGTAGCTAAGAGGAGCTACACTGAAAAGCTGGAGAAAAGGTTTTCAGCCAACGACCCCTCGTCAGTTTGGAGAGGCCTGGAAGTACTCACGAACTACAGGAGACCATCCCCCCCCACTGAGACCAATCACCGACTGGCTGATGACCTGAATTGTTTCTATTGCAGGTTTGATAAGCCCACTTTCACACCCCCCACCATCAAACAACCACCTACACACCCTGCCTCCTTCTCACCTCTTCCAACCGACCCCCCACCGGCACTGAGGTTCTGCGAGGAGGATGTGAGTCGGCTCTTCCACAGACAGAAGATCAGGAAGGCACCAGGCCCAGACAGTGTGTCACCCTCCTGCCTGAAAGTCTGTGCTGACCAGCTGGCCCCCATCTTCACACAGATCTTCAACCGATCACTGGAGCTCTGTGAAGTACCCTCCTGCTTCAAACGCTCCACGATCATCCTGGTCCCCAAGAAATCCTCCATCACAGGATTGAATGACTACAGGCCCGCCACGCTGACGTCTGTGGTCATGAAATCCTTTGAAAGACTGGTGTTGACCCATCTGAAGGACATCACAGGGCCCCTGCTGGACCCCCTGCAGTTTGCCTACCGTGCAAACAGGTCGGTGGATGATGCAGTCAGTATGGGACTGCACTACATGCTGCAACACCTCGACTCCCCAGGGTCATATGCAAGGGTTCTGTTTGTGGACTTCAGCTCTGCGTTCAACACCATCATCCCAGCAATACTCCAACCCAAACTCTCCCAGCTCACTGTGCCAGCCTCCTTCTGCCAGTGGATCACTAACTTCCTGACTGACACGACGCAGCAGGTGAGGCTGGGAAAATCACATGTAGCACCCGGACTATCAGCACTGGCGCCCCCAGGGTTGTGTGCTCTCCCCACTGCTCTTCTCCCTCTACACCAACGACTGCACCTCAGAGGACCCAACGGTCAAGCTCCTGAAGTTCGCAGACGACACAACGGTCATCGGCCTCATCAGGGACGGTGATGAGTCTGCGTACAGGCGGGAGGTTGAACAGCTGGTCCTCTGGTGTAGTCAGAACAACCTGGAACTAAACAAGCTCAAAACTGTGGAGATGACAGTGGACTTCAGGAGGAGCCCCCCAACACTGCCCCCCCCCCCCCACCATACACAACAACACTGTGTCTGCTGTGGAGACCTTCAAGTTTCTGGGATCCACAATCTCCCAGGACCTGAAGTGGGCCTCCAACATCAACACCATCCGGAAAAAGGCACAGCAGAGGTTGTACTTCCTGCGCCAGCTCAGGAAGTTCAACCTACCTCAGGAGCTGCTGATCCTGTTTTACTCAGCCATCATCCAGTCTGTTCTCTGTTCCTCTATCACTGTGTGGTTCGGATCAGCCACCAAACAGGACAGGAACAGACTGCAACGGATTGTCAGGTCTGCAGAGAGGATCATTGGTTCCAGCCTGCCCTCCATCCTGGACTTGTTCACCTCCAGAGTCAGGAAACGGGCTGGAAAGATCTCTGCAGACCCCTCACACCCTGGACACAAGCTGTTCCAACTCCTCCCCTCTGGTAGGCGCTACAGGGCTCTGTACGCCAAGACCACCAGACACAGGAACAGCTTCTTTCCACTGGCCGTCACTCTCATGAACAATAAATAAGTTATACTGCACTATTACCACCACTTATAATTCATGCCATTGTCTATAGGTTTATGTTCACATGTATATATATATATATATATATATATATACAATTTTTCTCTTGAATATCTATTTCTACTTATATTGTATATAATGTAACTAAATGTCTATACCTACATCCGTTCTACTTTTTTGCTGCCCTTTTTTATTCTTTATATATACATTGTCTTGTTTATTGTAAATTTGTGTTTGTACATTGAGAGCGGAGTGGAAACCGGAGACAAATTCCATGTATGCGTAAGCATACATGGCCAATAAAGCTGATTCTGATTCTGATTCTGATTCTGATCTGTCGTAACAAACCTCAAAAGAACAAAGAAAAATCTAAATCTGTTCACAAAACAACAATATGCATTCTAAAAATACAGTTCTCCCTCGAAGGTGGATTCAAAATACCTGCAGGTTGAGGAATGTTGCCTGTCAGCTTCAAGTGGCAACACCTTGAACCTTCTCAACTCCCAAAGTCAAGAACCTGTGGAGGAGCGGCTGTTTGTTCAATAACCTTACATGTATGAGGTCATCTTGAATACTTGCAAAAGCCATGTTTTGCTTTACTTTCTCTCAATGTATTTGTGTTAAATGATATTTCCCAGAATACACAGTAGCTGTGTTATAGAATAAAACAGTAACAATGTGAACGGTACATCCAGTAAATAGTCTATGGATGGCAGTTACAAGTATGCACTCAGTAAGGACTGCTTTTTATTTTCAAATTTATATTTATTTTGAATGAAGATGTGTGTTTGTGTGCATGTTTGCATGCATGTGTTGTTTATGTTATATAGCTTGTCAGTTGAAAAATAAAGAAATTACAGGTCTCCCTCATTGTTTTCTGGGTAACTGTCAGTGAAAGCATCAAATGGAAAAATGGGTGCAGCTGGAGTTTCAGAGTCATAACAGTGATACACACCCACATTCCACTTTCATTCTCTCTCTCACACACACATATTGTGAAATCCCCCCCACATAATAAGGAGAGCACATGCAAATGTGTCTGATTGATAATGTTAATTTGCCTCCATTCAGTGGAAAGATGACTGCAGAGGAAACAGAAAGTCACTTTAATAGAGCTCAATGTGCAGTGGACACACAACACTACAGTGAATAGTTGACATTCACTTTATAAAGCTATACTGCAAAATACCAATATTTGGGATACAATTTCTTGAAAAGATTTCTTTAAACAGCTTCGTTTTCAAATATAGGATCCAATCTGTGAACATTTTTTCTGAATTCTTTCATTACTTAAAATAACCAAAAAAAATTGAGAAAAATAACTTCATTCATTTAAATACGGTCTAGTCTGTCTCTTTTCAGAGACAATATTACAGACTCTGTAAATCCAGAGAAAGTCTTATGAAGGCAGCAACACTCCCTAAACATCTTCAAGAAACACACCTTGAAAATTATTTTTGTTCCCTGATTCAGAGTGTTTACAGAAAATGCAGCCACAGCTGACGTAACAAATGCTGCATTTGACTACATGAGGTCGCTGGTTTTTAAAAACATCCACTGAGATAACCTTATCATTAACCTTGAGGTGAATGCCAGAGGCTATCGCCTCTACCCATATCTCAACAGTGCTGGTGAGCTACCAAGGATGACACAGAACTTCCTCCTGAGGCCTTGTTTTATGATAATGAGAGCCGAATTAAGTTGTAGGGATTTTTGCAGTTTTTGACCGACGTTGGAGTAAAAAAGACAATATCCCCCATGTAGTGGAGTAGAAGTATAAAGCAGCAAAAATTGCAAATACTTAAGCAAAGTACCTTAAAAAAACAAGTAAATGTATTTAGTTTCACTACTGAATGATGGTAAAATCCCCCTAAAAAATCCACATAAAACACCCTACAAATAGCCTCTGGGAGGGGATTTCCCAACAACTTATAGTTGTTTATTTTTGTTGAATTAAAGTACAACACATATGCAGTGAGATTTAAAATGAATACAAACGTTTTAAAGCAGAGTTTAAATATACAAGTCCAAGTTTTGACTAACATCTGGCCCCTTCGACGACCTAACTGAGAACGGTCCGAGGTGCTTTTTGTCCCTTTGAGCGCACGGTAGAAACAGGAAGTACAAGAGAAAGCTACAGCAAAACAAAAACAAATTGATGCTAAACCATCTAAATTACACGTTGTCTCAAAATGGACAGTCAAAACCCAAAGTCAACGAGTAACGAATCACGCTGCGTATTTGTTAATACAGATTCAGACGACTATCAATGCGTAAGTAGCTAACGGTAAACTCAGTATTCGCTTTTTTTAAGCTAACGTTAATTAGCTAGTTTGCTACATAACGTGACACAGTTAGCTTGTTAAGGGTTTGGTAATTTTGTATTAGAACTGATTGATTAATTGATTAACTATTCGATACGTTGATGTATGAATGCCTGACACCTGCATGGTTCTCAATACTAAACTCTAACGGTACAACTGAGCTGCCAGTCATTTAACATGCTAACTAGCTGCATTAATTGGCCTGTTGAATATTAGCGTTGTAGCCCAACTAATTAAAACATCCTCCACAACTAGCTTAACTGGCTCACTTGCTAATGGAGCGCACACATTACTCTGTTGTGTCTGACAAGCTAACTAAAGCTAACCTGCCTGAGCATTACCAGCTTTGAGTCTTTTAACGTAAGCTGTTGTTAACTTTGCTCAACGAAAAAGCGTTTATCAACGTTGTTTTACATTCACGCGTCAGACATGCAGGCGGAACGAGTCTGTTGTGGATAATATGAACAAAGACGAGCAGAGTTTCTTATCTTGAGACGATAACGCGAGCCTGTTGCGTCAGTTCGCTGAACGTGAAGGAGAGAAGTACAACAATAATAGCACAATAACATCAGTGGTAGAAAGTCACTAAATACACGTATTCGTGTCCTTTACTGAATTGCTTGTACTTTACTTGAGTATTTACATTTTACTGTGTGCTATTTTATACCTTTGCTTCAATACATGTCTGAGGGAAATGTACTTTTTTACTCTACTACGTTTAGCTGACTTAATATTTTTAGTTAAATAAACTTACTAACTGCTTTGCAGATCAAGATTTTACAAACTAAATCTGCAATCATAAAATCCATTGTTGTAGATTAAACTTCCCAGCAGTATGTAAAGCAGTTAATATCTTCCCAGCCTTGTTCAACATTCATGTATTGCTAACATCAACAATAATGATCCAGTTACATCATAATATAACATATGGACAGGGACCATTGAGTACTTTTACTTTCGGTGCTTTAAGTATTTTGTTCTGATAATACTGCTATACTTTTCCACCTAAGTAACATTTTGGAAGCAGGACTTACGTATATTATAGTGTGCCATTGCTACTCTTACTAAAGTTAACTTAATACTTCTACTTTGTCTAATTCAGTGACCCGGATATTAATACTAACTATTAAATACATGTTATATTATATATATCTCCAAGCACTGATGACGTCTAGCTGAGTTTGAATGCACATATTGTAAGTTGCGTTCAACCAAAACATCAGCCAAATGAATATAATGTAGTTGTCTTTGATAGCATTTAACTGTGAGTTGTTCCTGTAGCACTGGAACAATGTACGTCATACTGCAGTCCAATAAAACATAGACTGGAAAACTTGAAACAACACCTCTCTGGCAAAGTATCAAGCATAAACAATTGCACATCACGACCTTCACAAACGTGCCTGCAAATTACATTCCATTGAATTAACACGCGGTTGTGGCATTGAGTACACACCCTAAGGATTTGTATAGGAGATGACAATAAACCTGTCTTCAGAAGAAAATCTTCAGAATAACCTCGTTAGGAAACACCCGGCTTGGATCAGTTGTAACTTGTCGCTGAACCAAGGCTGGCATACGGGCAGATTAGTTCAAGAAACAGTCTCTGTCTCTGGTGCGTTCGTGTTAATGTGAGAAGGTGAAACTTTCTCGTGTCAGCAGCTCTAGGCTCCAGGTCATCGTCCACTCTCTTGGCCTAATTAAGAATGCTGCACTAATGCTGTCTTGCGTTGAGCCCAAATCTCTCCTCTGACGACAAGCAATCGCTCATAATTGCAAGCGATGGATCACAGTGTCCCACACACTAACTTTCTAACCCAGATACAGACGGCTCACAGTGACCAAGCCAGCTATACCGGTTTGAGTTTGGTATCAAGCTTCAAAAGAGAACAAACCTAGTATTCATTCATTCATTCCCCATAATTCTCCCATCCTATTCACTATTCATGTGTTCGTGCAGTCAGTTTTGTTCCTTGCATCATCCTCTTTTGTCAGTTGAGCAACAGAATTTTAGTAATGATTCAGTGCATAATTGTTGCTGCAATAGCAAAGTATAACATGCTCATAAATCTGTACTGTCCTAGATTCATACTCTATAGGCTTACTTGTGCTTTTTGGGAATTAATCCCGATAAATCAAACAAAAAAAGAATCTGCAATAATTTGATAATCAACTTATCATTGAAGTCATTTTTCAATGTTTGCTTTTCACAAAAGCAAACATTTCCTTGACTTTTTTTTTCTTCTTTTGTTTGTCTTTGTGATCATTTTTAGGGTTTGTCGGTCAAACAAACAAATGATTTTATAACTTCACATAGGGCAGATGATTAATCATGATGATTAATAGTTTAATCAAATATTTGACAGATTAATCATGAGTAAATCATCGTTGATTGCAGCCTGAATTACTTTACTTATTGGAAGTGAGCTGAAGTTTATTGCGACATTTTATTCGGTATGAAGTAGGGATGAAAAATGTTTGTGTGACTTGCATAGCATAAGGAGGGAAATCCACGTCCCAATAATAGCATAATAAACTTTTCAAAAAGCAAGATCACTCGTGCACTATTTATAAGACAATTTGTGGGAAAAGGCAGTCTTTTAACACTCCTACAGTTCCGTACTGGGAGCCATCATTGGAATGTAATTAAAACAGTAATAAAACGGTAAAAGACTTCAAAGAAAAAAAAATCTCTCTTTTTCTGTCTAGTGTATCCAGAGATCTCACGTTACTGCAAAAACAAGGTATTAAACAACTTGAAACCCACTTCCATACATGAAGTAGAAGCAGTCTAGTAGATAGCCATGTTTTCTGTACAGGGCCACATGTGTTTGTTGTGACACCTCCAAGGAGACACCTGTAGGACACTGTGTGCAGAAGGCCACAGCAGTGGTATTTCCCAACGTGTCCCGCTCTGTTTTGCATGCAAGACTTCCACCGGGCCCCTTCATTTTTCCCCGAGGCTGTTTGGTCGAACTCGCACACTTCTCATTCCTCTCATTCCTCCGTTTGTTTTCTCTCTGAGTAGCTCTCATATCTGCTTCAGCTTCGCATTTTTGCTTTGCGCAACAGTGTCAGCTTCCAGTTTTTCAACTCACTCAGCTGTCATTGAACAGCGCTCTGTGCTTTATAGCATGTTAAAACATGTCAAACGCATGTGGACGTGGCATTCCTAAACCGCTCAGATGTCTAAGGTTGTTCCTAGAACTCGGATCCTCTGGAAGTGTACGCAAACAACATGTTATTATACTTCCTTTAGTCACACACGTTTGCACACAAACAGGCATGCTGGAACAAATAGAAGTCTCCTCAACACAGTCGTTTCTAAGCTTATGATTAGAATAATGGCAGCACTGTATTTGTGTTGCACTTCTCAGGAAGTTTGCGCAACGCTTTACTTAAACAAAAATATTGTAAGAAATGCATATGTCAACTCTACACTTAAGTGCATTATTGTTTATTTATCATTCATAGATGTGAGCCACATACTGCACAGTAGTAAGGAATTGTTTCTGATTTACAGGTGGTGATTTTAAGGGTAAAACGAGCCACAGGAACCTTCTCCTTAGTAGGATGGTAAATATTTCCTCAAGTTATTTGTTTTGAATCCTTGACTTTTATTTCACACCGGATAGTTTAACTGTTCATAGCTTTGGGGAGCCACCGATATATATATTTGGCTGAGTTGTATTTATAATTGGTTATGATATCTAGGTGGTGGAAGAGTTAACTATAATATTAAATTGGCAGCCCACTGCTCCCTATATACAGGGATGGGTCAAATGCAGAGGTCAAATTTCGTGTATATGTATATGACAATAAAAAGGGTTTCTTCTTCTTCTTCTTAAAAAAAGGTTCCCTGTAGAGTTTTAGATCTCGAGTAGCGCCATGGAGGCGTTTTTTGATGACTGGGTCCCTGCTTTTTTATGGGGAATTGAAAATACGTGAAAATCGTCTTTTGCAAATGTTTTATTGGGGAAGGAAGTGCACTCGACACATTTGTTAGACCTCGAGGACTGAATGTAAACTGAACTTCAGTTTGTGTACAAGAAAACTCCACAGGGCACCTTTAACCTGTGCAAACTAATTCAACATTTTACAGTAAGCCTGTTGAGCCTGTGTCTAAGATGGGTTGATTCTACTGTGTGTTTATTTTAGAAGTTGTGCTCTGCGGTGTCTATACTTCTCATGAAAAGTGATTTGTATGTAACATATTGCTTTGTGATGGAACTAAATGATTAATCTCAAAGCCAGGCCCATGGCTATAGACTAGAATGACTTATCGCTTTAATCAAACAACACTTTTTAGAAACAAACAAGGCAAATGAATATGGTTGGTCCCTAATCGCTTCTGGGAAAAACACATTTATTATTCCAAAGAAGGCATTGGAGGTTTTTCCTGTTTGTTGCAGTATTTGATTGTGACTTGTGAGGTAGCATCTAGTGACATTTCGATGAACTGCATCTTAACGTTAAGCTGTGGTGGTTGCGTTTTTGGCCGAGGACCTCATTCCTTCAAATGCTGCTGAGCAGGTCTTTGGCAGGATTTCTGCAGGTTTCGGTCTAAACGACAGAGCTAGGAGTTGCTATGATGTATTTATGTGCATTAAGACATTATGTCATCGATAGAGCAACTGAGGACCTGTCCTGTTCAAGTTGTTGCCATTCTCACTGTCGTCTTTCTTCTCTCTCTCCACAGCATTTTCATGCTCTTTGTGATCTGGCTGCTCCGCAGGTATCACTCTCTGGCTCAGGTAAATTCGCACCACAATGTACAGTATGTTATGACTCCCTCGCCCCCCCCCCCCCTCCCCCACCATATCTGTTTGCTTCATTGCCACCGGAAATATGTTCAATTAGCCACGGCAAATCTTTGCATAATTGAACCCAATTAAAATTGCACAGACGAATCAATTGTGGAGTTAATTGACTGATGGTGGTTCTGTGATAATGGCGGCTGTCTTTTTCCCCTCTCTACATGAGGAGGTTTGCGTTATACTTAAGGTCTGACGATGCACCGAATATTATTAGTTCAGTGTTCTTTTCTTTCTTCCACATGGCTATGTTTAATTTCATCCAAAATCGTTTCAGATGTCTAAAACAGATCAGTGTCAGTTCGCGGCGTTTTGTGTGAGTGTGAGTGTGCAGCCTGCACGTTGTTGTGGAAGCCGGTCTGTCAGGTTCAGCAACGCTCCACGCTATCCTTCTAATCTGAAGCAAATGACAGCTTAACGTGGGGCTCTGATGGATCCTATTACCTCTGGACCAGGTCATACAGAGTGACTTCACCTCCTGCTCCCCCCTGCTCCTCTCGCACAACTTAAACCCTCTCCTTACCTCCGTCCCCTCTCAAAGGTTATCCGTCAGTCAATGGTCTTTAATGCTCTCCCTTTAAGGCTTTTTCCGCCTCCCCCTCCCCCTTCTCTGTAGCCTTGGCAGGGTCATTGCTGGACAAATTAATAAAGGGGTGTGCGTGTGCGTGCGTGTGTGTGCGTGTGTGTGTGCGCCCTGCCACAGTTTGTAACCACTTCTGCAGGCGAAGTCAGCATAAGACTGACGACTGGCATGCAGCGCAGCCTCTTTAGATTCTGCAGCACACAGATTATTGGTTTGTTTCATATGCAATAGAATGAATTTCATGTTTATGTAGAAGGATTCACGGAGCCTCTCCCCTCCACCCTGTGACATTTTCAGTTGTCACCGGGGACGTCAGCCACATCAGTGATCATTTGATCCATAATTTGCCCTTTCTCTCTCTACGTGAATATTAATGCACCGGCGTATTCAGAATCGGGGTGTTTAGTTGGAGAACCCCTTTTTCAGGTCTCCCTCTCATTTTCACTGCACAGAAGATGATTCTCAGCCTGACAGTAGCCGCCTTCTTCGACAGCGTAGCATATGTCATGGTGAGTTACTCGAGTCAGTTTCACTGAATGCCCACATGGCAGAGGCTTTTTTAATTTTTCTATTTTTTTGGTCGTTTTGTGAAAACGTTTCCCTGCGCTGTTCTTTCTTCCTTCCCCAGGGTGATGCACATCCAGAGGGGGCTCTGTGTGACTTCCAGGCCTGCTGGCTAACTTACTTTGGTAAGACAAAACTTTATGAACTACTCACTGGCTCCCTGTTAACAATAGAGGTGGAGTAAAGATTCCACAAAGACATCTGCTCAGGAGCTCATATATCACAGTGGAAAAATATATATATTTTTAATGTCATTTCATTGTTTTGGCTTGAGAACAAAATATCCCTTGACACTGATTGCTCCGGCTCATCAAGCTTGAAATGCGACGTGGGAGAGTTGTGTCTGGTGGAGATAGAGGCTCAAAACTTATATATGGTTACATGAATTCTGTTGCATTTAACAGTGATTTTATGGGTATTCCTTCTCATGGTCTGGTCATCATTTTAATGCAGGGACTGTTTTACATGTGTAAAAGCCTTTCCTAGCCTTTGCTTAGATTCATTTGGTCAACTCAGCATCCTCTCCCAAAGTTCTCCAAAAAAAACACAAAAAACAGGGAGGATATGTACTTGCCATATACTACAGTTGTCAAGGGTGTTAACGCTTCGAATTAATTTGCACATCACAATTAGTATCCACACAACCATACCAAGAATAACACACCTGTACGTGGGAGTCAAGCGCCACGTTCTGCAGTTATTGGCTCATTGCTATCTCCTGTAACGATGGTTCACGACTCCAGCATTTCATCTGGGTTAATTGGGCGCATCTGCAGGTTCTCAATTTGGGGTTAGTGGGAAGATTTCTTTGTGATTTGGACCGATGAGGCGGGATCGTGTGCACATTTATTTGCTGGCATTTGTTGCAACTGCAGCTCCTTTAGCCTCGATTAGCATACGGATTCTTAGTTAGGACTGGCTGCTAATACAAACACTCCACCACGCTTGTTTTTATGGTCCTTAGAGGCCGACACACACACACACACACACACATACACACACACACTCAGAGACGGATACAGGGTAATGGGCAGTGAGTTAGTGCTGCGGGGGCTGGTGCCTTGTCACCTCGGTTTATCAACGAGGATCCCTCGCGCTCAGGACAAACGGCCGCACATAAACAGCAGCTGAGCGGGGCACTTTGTTCTATCGCGAAGCGCTGAGTCCGGCGGGAGTCGCGTAACGCACAGCTCCGCTTTTAACTCTAACCCATAAAAAATGTTCTGAAATGTGTTTGAAACGGAGGCAGGTGGTAGCAGGGGGCCGACGTCGGGACAGGTCAGTGAAGCCGAGCGGGAGTTTAAAAAAGAAGCGAAGCTTGGGCTTGCTGTCGGGTTATGTAAGACACGTTGTGACAGTGCTTTATTGTGATAATGACATAGACAGCCGGCGTCCTTCTATCTTAGTCACGGCACACTATTCCTAAACATCGCTTTAGTGTGGAAGGTATGTGAGTTTTGTGTATGGGGGGGGGGGTTGTGTGAAACTGAGGCTACATCCACACTAAAACGATCTCTGTCCACATGGCGTTTCAGCATCGTTTTCTAAATGATCTCCGTCCAGACTAAAACGCCTGAAAACGAATATCACGTGACTATTCACGTACACTGGGCATGTGGGTTGGTTCCGGTGAAAACAGGAAGTAGATTGGTTGCTTAGTTAAAAAAATACGACAGAGTAATAAAGTAGTCTTTAATAATGAAAGGTTGTGTTTGATACTTAAGATCTTCTCTAAAATCTTCCTCTATGAACTCAAACACACATTTCGTGGAAAGTTTTAGAAGTTTTATTTGTCAGACTTAGTTACAGCGCTGCAGGTCTTTCTCTGTCTCTCTCTCACACATCAAACTTACTTTAAAATCAACACTTACGCGTAAACGTTTACTAGATTATGGGTCCATAAATGTGGTCAACACACGTTTCTCACTCGTTCCCTCGGTTTCGTTGTTGTCTGTTCTCACTCGTAGCTCTGCTGGTGGCTGACGTTTCTGTCCTTCTGGAGAGCATTACCGCTTTTGTTCCTTTATAGTTTGTATGTGGACTTCACAATAGTTGTGCAGAACAAAATAAGCATTAATAAGGACAGGAAAGTCCTCTGTTTTGTGTCCATCACCCTCCCTAAAGCCGCTAACCGTGACTTCAGATGGCCGCCGCCGCTCCGTAGGTCTGATAACGCCGCTGGACGCTGGAAAGCAGGTGTGCTTTCGCTACTTTTCGTTTCCAAACGTATGCGTTTACGTCGTCCACGTAAAGACGCAACCCCGGAGTTTTCAAACTTATCGGTCCTCAGGAGCGTTTCCAAACGCCGGCGTAGTGTGGACGCTCAGTGTAAACGTAGCAAAACATATGCGTTTTCAAATGGAAACGGAGTAGTGTGGACATGGCCTGAGTAAGCTGAGTATGTGGCTCAGATAATCCATCATTGCCTGTCCTGTCAACAGAAATGCAAAAAACAACACACATACAGACACACGCACGGAAAGGAAAAGGTCTGAATACGAGGGCAAAAAAAAAAAAGGAAGGAATCTTTCTCGACTCTTCTCTTCCTTGTCTCCGTGAAATGTATTAATTTTTTCCCCTCTGCTGACTTCGCCTTCCTCTCCATTTTCTTCATTTCTTCTATTCCTCTCGGTTCTTTTGCATTTCCCGCTCTGGTCCACTCCCCCCTCCCTCGCCCCCACCTCTGCTTATCTCCCTGCGCTTTTCCACAGTTCATCATTATCTCTCTCCGAGCTCCCCCCTCTCATCCATCACCCTAAGCCACAGGTTTCCCTCATATTATTGCGGAATGGGCCTTCATTTATCAAAAAGGGGAACACAAGCGTGCACACACGCGTGCACTCGTTCGCAACCGGGGTGTTTACGCACACACGGTGGCAGGGGGTGGGGGGGGGTGGGGGGGGGGGGGGGGGGGGCGGCTTTGTTGTAATTTGACCTTGTTGTTTTTCTGTGTGTCTCTACAGACTGGAGTGCCTTGGCCTGGGTTTGTCTCATCACAGTGAACCTGTACCTCAACCTGGTGCGAGAAATCAGCACCAACAGATATGAGATGTGAGTAGGTCACTTCATGCTGCAGCTGATAATTATTCATTTTATCAATTGGTTGATTTACTGATTATGTTCTTCAGTGTTTTTCTTTTTTTATGTTCTGTCCAAAAGTTATTAACTAACAATGTTTTGCATCTGAGAAAATAAATAGACCCGTACATTGGAAAAGCTAGAGCCAGATAGTGATAGGCTTCTAAATGACTCGCATGTTTAATTGATTATCAATATAGTTGCCGATTGGTTTTCTGACGATCCACCTAAAAGTTTAATCAACAAATTATATCACGTATCCGTCCCTCGCGTGCACAAACGGGTCGTTTTCCGTCTCTACGTCCACCTCTGTGTCTTCCTATGAATGTGTGTTTGTCTCTTGTTGCCATCGTTTACCTGTGTGTGTGTGTGTGTGTGTGTGCGTGCGTGTGTGTGTGTGCGTGCGTGCGTGCATATGTTTGGGCTGCCAGAGCATGTGTCTCCCCGCGGAGCATTGACAGCCCCCCCCCTCCCTCCCTCTTCCTACCTCCTCCTCCCCCTTTCTGTTCCAGCCGACGCTCTAATTGAAAAGGGAGTGAGTGTCAGCCGTTAAGTGTGCGCGTTTGCGTGCGCACCAATCTTCACGCTCTGCGGCTCTACGTTTCTGTCGCTCAAACTCCCATGAGCTCTCTCCGCAGCGCGAGTGTGAATTTGCTTGTGTGGGTGTGAGAGATATTTTTCTCATTTTCCATGCCTCGTGTGGAGGTCTGTGACACAAACACGCATAAAAAAAATACCTTTAACAAGTAAGCGGGAACTCTGTTTTGCAAGTCGATTGTTCCGTGGTTGTGTCCCGCAGATGCGCGTATAGGTACGCACACCCCTTCCACCCATCCTTGTGTGAGGGGGTTAGGCCGGAAAAAAAGGTGCAACCCCCCGCCCCCCCTCTCCCCCATGGGAGTTTCCCTGCATTGATTAGCAATAAGCCAGACGATATAATGGTGTTATAACTCAAAGGGAGACGGCTTTATGGAGCGCAGGGAACGGGGTGCTGGGTTGGGAGGGGCGGGGGGGGGGTGGGTGCAAAATCAGCTCGCTCCAGAGCCTTGTCAGCTGCACGCCATCTCATGGGTCCAGAGGGACCAGGCGGGTGGAGGATGCGTCTGTGTTTCTGCGTCGCGCCGATCACACGGGGAAAAAAAAACTCGGCGCTTAATAGGTTATAGAGCAACGTGAGGACGGGGCGTCAGGGGGGTTGTCGTGCATTCACTGCGCATAGATAAGCCGCATGCGTTTCGGCAGGCGGGTATGAGGCTCTGCATGCATGCACAATTAGGCTATCCCTCAGCCCCTTCACCCAACCTCACTCACACACACACACACACACACACACCTACACACACACACGCACAGAGTGACGGCACAGCGTGATGGTTTATGAATGAACAAATCGCCAGAGGAGATGGAGAACGGAGGCTGGATGATCTAAGAGTGATTGAAGTGGATGCAAGGGAGGACGGGAAGTGTGTTTGTGCACGTGCGTGTGCGTGCGTCGTTAATGTGCGTTTGAAGGACGGATTCTGGCAAACTGGATGTGGGGGGGGATGAGATTGAGCCCCGAGAGAGATTTCTATATGAGCTTGTGGGTGTGTGTGTGTGCGTGCAGGTGTGTGAAATACAGAGCGCATAGCGGCCCTGCTGTGCCTCATTAAGCCCATGTTGTGCGCAGCCCCGGACCTCGTCATCTCCCTCTCTTGCTGC